GGCTGCGGCACGTGCGCTGGGGCCCCGGCGGCGTCGCGGTCCGCGTCGGCGGCGGCGCCGCGGCGCGAGGCGGCGTAAACGTCGCCGCGGCGTCCTGCGCCGAGGACGTCGCCGGCGCGGCGCGGGTCGCGCTGGGCGCGCCGTCCGCGGACGTCGACGACCTCGCGCGGCGGCGCGCGGCGGCGCCGCGCGCCGGCGGCGCGCGGCCGCTCGCGACGCGCGCCGTCGCCGCGCGGTACCGCGTCGAAGTCGTCGGCGCCTGGGGCGCGGCGCTGGCCGACGACCTGGCGGACACGCCCCTGGGCGCGCTCTGCGCCTCCCTCGACGCCGCCGTCGGCTGCGATTTGCTGCGACGCGACGCGTTCCTCGACGCCGCGCCCCTCGACGCCGCGGGTCTCGGCCGGCTCCTCGAAGAGGCGCGCGGCGACGAGCCGGCGCCGCGGGGCGCGCGCCTCGTGCGCTTCCTCGTCCTCGCCGCGCCGGCCAACGCCACGGTCGGCGGCCGCCGCGCGCTCGCGGCGGACCCGCGCGGCGCGGGCGCGGACGCGGGCGGCGTCGTGCTGTCGAGCGGCGGCGGGGACGACGCGCTGCGCACCTGCGCGGCCATGCTCCGCGCGCTCCTCGGCCTCGCGCCGGGCGGCGCGCTCTCGGACCTCGAGGCCGCCGCGCTCGCCGCCGCGAACGCCGAGGCCGGCCTGTCGGCCGCGCGCAGGGCAGGACAAGAGAGCGACATTCCCAACTTCAAAGGCTCCGATCTCGGCCGTTTTCCACTCGTTTCGGCTGATCTTTGGACGAGCGATCATCTCTCGGAACGGTCTCGAAGCGTGGATGCTTTTTTCGGAACGCGCGCGCGCGGAACACTCACGTTGAAGCGACGTTGAATCACCCTTGTCCTGCCCAGGCCGCGCGCGACGCGTTCGCCGCGCTCGCGCGCGTCGGTGCGCTCGCGCGGCCCACGGACGCGGCCGCCGGCGCCCTCGCGGACGTCGAGCGCGCCGCGAACGCGACGGACGTCGCCGGCGTCGCGGCCCTCGCCCGGGCCGCGGAGCGGCGCCTCGAGGACGCGCTCGCCGACCCGGCGCTCGCGCTGCCCCAGCACATGCCCTGGGAGCACCTCGCCGCGGTCTACGCGCCCATCGTCGCGCCCCTCGTCGCGCCCCTGGCCTACGGCCTCTACGAGGAGGCTACCCGCTACCGCCGGCTCGCGGCCAAGCGCAAGCGAGACTAGGTCAGGCGCCGCTCTTTCTCCGGTGACTCCCGCGGGGGGTCGGTCCGCGACCGCCGTGCGACGGGCGGGCGCGGCGTCATGGCGCGGGGAGCCGCCGGACCGGCGGCGCGCGCGGCTCTAGCACGCGGCCTCGGCGCCGGCCTCGCAGAGCGCGGCCTTGATCTCCTTGGCGGACTCGGGGTCGTTGCGCGCGGTCTTGCCGTTGAGCTTCATCGTCGGCACGGAGAGGATCCTCTTCGAGCGCGCGGCGATGTCGACCATGAGCGACTTGACGAGGGCCTCGTCCTTTGCGCAGGCCTCGATTGCCGCGTCGTCGACGCCGGCCTTGGCCGCGCAGCTCGCGCGCGTGCCCGCGACGCACGTGCCTTCGATGCGGCCCGCGTAGCAGCCGAGGAACGCGCTCTGGTTGAGCAGGGGCTCGCCGGTGCAGCCGTCGTGGCAGCCCGTCACGTGGCCGAGGCAGGCTTCGACGACGTCCGCCTCGCAGCAGGCCTTGCTCTCGCCTTCGCACTTGCTCGGGTCGAAGCGCGTGCCGTCGGGAATCGGGTTGTGGGTGAAGTTGACCTGAGCCGCGATGTCAGGACCGAGAGCGGCGGCGAGGCCGCGCTTCTCGTCCTGACAGCCCCCTCACCAGACGTGGCTGAAGATCTCCATCGTGACCTACGGCGATGAGTTGAGTGCGTCGAAGCTTTTCCAACGACACGCCGCAGGGCGCACGAGCTCCGCCGAGGCGGAGGCGAGGGCGAGCAGCGTGAGGAGGCGCGCCATAGTATGCTCTGCGACGCTGCGACTGCTGAATTCGTCCGTTATGGTTTTCAGTGAAGCGACGTTGCCTTGAGAGAGCGCGCTAGTTATGGGAGACGACGCTGCCCCCCACGGGGGGTCGCGGCCCGGGACGCAGCACAGTTCCCGGCCCGGGTCGCAGCGCCACGCGATCCGGAACTGGGACCCGAACGGCGCCGACGCCCAGTTCCTGAGCAACTTCCTGGACCGCTGGGACAAGATCGCGCGCCAGCGCGAGCTCATGGCGGGCTGGTCGACGTGGCTCGAACTGCTGCGGACCTACCGGAAGCTCAAGGAGCGGCGGGAGCGCATGCAGATGCACGCGTCCTTCTTCGGCCTGCTCCGGGAGCACGCGCCCGGGGGCCGCGTCGCGAGCGTCGTCGAGTCGATGGTCACGTGGGTCAACTACACGGGCGTCTTCGGCGACATCGGCCGCGAGGCGAAGAAGCTCTTGTGCCAGAACATGCGCCTGCGCACGTACCGCACGGGGGACCTGCTCTGGCTCCAGGGCGACCGCGCGCACCACTACTTCCTCCTCCACGCGGGCCTCGTGCGGCTCTACCGCCACAGCACGCCGTCCATGCTCCAGGACGCGCGGCTGCTCCTGGGCAAGAGCCGCAAGGTGCCCCTGCGCCGCGCCGTCTACGGCGCCGAGGAGGTCCGCGCGCCCGCGCCCGCGCCGGCCGCCGCCGTCGAGGAGGCCGCGGCGCCGCCGCCGCCGGGCCGCGACGCGGAGGCCGCGCTGCGCGCGCGCCTCGCCGGGGTCGAGGGCGCCGTCGCCGTGCTCGACGACGCGGACGTCGGCGGCGCCGACGTCGGCGTCGACGACGCCATGCTCGCGCTCCGCCGCGGCGGGCCGCTCGAGGCCGCGGCGCCGTCGCGGCTCGAGAGCGCCGCGGCCGGCGCGCCCGCGCCCGCCGGCGCCCCGGCGCCGGCGCCCGCCCGCGCGTCACCAAAAAAAGCGAAGAAGAAGGCGCGGGCGGTCCACGAGGCGCTGCCGCCCCCGCGCGACGACGAGTCGAGCTTGGCGTCCTACGCGACGCCGGTCGACGGCGACGAGCTCGAGCACCTCGCCCTCGACTGGGACGTGCTGGGCCAGCCCATGAAGGACGTGCACCCGGGCACGGGCCTCGGCGAGGCGGCGCTCCTGCGGAACGTCGACGCCGCGGATTCGACGGGCGAGCGGTGCGCGAACTACGGCAACTCGGCCGCGTGCGCGGCGCCCTGCGTCGTCGTGTCCGTGCCGGCGGAGGTCTACGCGGCGGCCCTGCGGCCGCGGCACCTCGAGCTCGTGGAACACCTCGCCAAGGTCGAGTTCCTGCGGAGCATCCCCGTCTTCGGGCGGTGGCCGCCGGAGCGCGTCGGCCAGCTCGCGGCCGCGTGCGCCGTCGTCGAGCTCGCGACGGGCGAGGTCGCCTGCCGGCGCGGCGACAAGGTCGGCCGCCTCTGCTTCGTGCGGCGCGGCGAGCTCGGGCTGTCCGCGCGCCTCGACGGCGCGCTGCCCGGCGCGACGAAGACGGCCCCGTCGAAGACCGCGGAGCTCAGCCGCTGCGGGCCGGGCTGCTGCCTCGGCGATCTCGAGGTGCTCGAGGGCCTGCCGACCTACCTCTGCACGGCGCGGGCGGCGATGACGACGGTCGTCTACGCCGTCGCCCGCCGCGACTTCGAGCGGTGCGTGCTCCACAACCCGCACAGCCAGGGCACGAAGCAGACCGTCGCGGCGCTGCGGCGCGCCGTCGAGGCGCGCAAGGACTTCCACGCCTACCGGGCCCTGGTGGAGCTCCAGCGGCTGACGGGCCAGAAGGGCCTCGGGGCTTTGGACGCGCCCGCGGAGCACCCGTACGTGTGCTCCGAGTTCGAGGCCGCGCTGGCCTCGAAGATCGAGGCGACCTTCGAGCGCGTCTGGGACCGGTCGCCGGCGGAGGCGCTCTCGAAGGCGCGCACGGCGCTGGCGCTGCGGCCGGCGGCGCTGCCCGGCGGCGCGTCGCGGACGGGCGTGCTCCGGGTCTTGGAGGCCGCCGTGCCGGCCGCGGCCGACGACCCCTTCGGCGCGGACGCGGCCGCGTCGCCGGCGAAGCCCGCGCCCGTGTCGCCCTACGCCCAGCGCGTCCTGTCGCCGTCCAAGGGCGGGCGGCGGCGCCGCGTCCTCGACGACGACGACGACGACGACGCGACGGACGGCGCGCCGCCGCCGCCGACCGCGGCGCAGTCGGCGCTCGCGCTGGCGATGACGTCGCCCTTCGACCCGAACGCGCCGCCCCGGCCCCGGGCCGAGGTGATCTCCCTGGCGACGAAGAACCTGCCGACGCCCGCGGCGCAGCGCGCGACGTACCGCCACAGCGTCACGGAGATGCGCTTCCACCTCCAGCACGACTCCGTCCGCGACCTCAAGGGCCACCTCGCCCGCGCGCCCAAGGCCAAGGGCCAGCCCCGGTCCCTGGCGAAGCTCATCGGCAAGCCCTCGCTCACGGACGAGCCCGAGACGCGCCTCGCGCACTCGACGCTCTCCCGCCTCTCGGCGATCCCGGCGAAGCAGCGCGCGGTCATGCACACGGACGAGCTCCTGCGCATCGCCACGGAGATCCTGACGCCCCTGGTCAAGGAGAAGCAGAGCCGCGACGACGCGCGGCGCGGGCTCGTGCGGCGCTAGTAAGCGCCAAAAAATTACGAGTGCGAGGAAGCGTCTACTTGGAATTCGACTCAAAAAATTACGAGTGCAGGTGCGCGCACCACTCGCAGCTCGCCTTGCCCTCGTCGTGGCAGGCGCAGCTGCAGCCGCCGTCGTAGGTCACCGCCCCGGCCCAGTACGCGTCGCTGTTGATGTCCACGGCCTTGGGGCACGCGGCCGGCGGCTCGACCGCCGGCGCCGCGCCGTCCGCCGGCCGCAGCGCGTGGTCGGCCGCGTCCGGCCGCCGGCCCCCGTCGCAGGCGCGGAGGTAGGACGCCGCGTCGACGATGGCGACGCCGAGCTTCGCGGCCTTGCGCACGCGCTGCGTCCGCCGCTCGACGGCGCCGGGCGTCGCGAGCAGCACGGCGACCTTCTTGTGCACCGTGGCCGAGTACTTGCCGCCGAGCGCCGCGCACCGCGCCGCGACGTCGGCGAAGCTGAAGCCATTCGCGCTGTGACCCTCCGCGTCGGACGCGCCGGCGGCCGCGCCGCCGTCGACCGCGCCGCCGTCGACCGCGCCGGCGGCCGCGCCGCCGTCGCGCTCCGCGTCGACGGACACCGAGAACAGCACGCCGCCGAGGGGGCCCGCCGTCGCGTCGCCGCTTCCGCCTTTGCGCGCGCGCTTCTTGCGCGACGCGTTCGTGGCGGGTGCGGCGCGTTTCGACGTCGCACGCGCGGCGTCGACTGCCGGAGACGGCCTCGAGGCACACATCATGCTGTCTGTCGCCTCGTTGAATTATCAACATGCAGTGCAACATCTCTCAAGCAGCCCGGGCCGAAGCAACGATGGCGCCCACATTTACAGCGAGCTCGCACCAGTAAAAGCAGCATGCTCGCCTTCAACAGCAGCGACGCGCCGCCGCCGGCGCCCCCGCGGCCGACGCTGACGGAGAAGTCCTTCGGCGACGACGACGCCGAGGCCGGTGCACCCTACTACGAGCGCAGCCTGCAGGTCGACGCGGCGGCCCGGCAGCGGCGCTACGACGACGAGGACGCGGCGTCGGCGCGGCTCGCGGGCGGCGCGGCGGCGCTCGCCTGCGTCTTCGTCGTCGGCGGCGTCGCCCTGTCGTTCCGCGGCGCGTACGCGGCGCGACGCTTCGACCGGTCTGCGAGCGCGGGCCACCAGGGCGGGAAAAGAGTGCTCCAAGTTCGCTTCAACATGAGTGTTTCGCGCGCGCGCGTGCCGGAAAACATCCACGCGTCGAGAGCGCTCCGAGAGATGATCGCTCGTCCAAAAATTAGCCGAAACGAGTGGAAGACGACCGAGAGAGGAGCCTCCAAAGTTGGGAATTTCGCACTCTTTTCCTCCCAGGCGGGCCACGCGCTGCTCGCGGCGGCGCTGCTCGGCGCGCTGGGCGCCTGCGGCGCCTGCGTCGTCGCGTGCTGCGGCGCGCTGGGGCCGGCGCTGGACGACGGCGGGCCCGTCGAGGAGCCCGCCTGGTACTTTCGGCGGCGGTCCGCGCGGCGGCTCCGGCGCGACGCGCGCGGCGCGCTGCGACGCGTCTCGCGGGACGACGGCGAGGAGGAGCTCGCGCCCGGCGGCGGCGAGGACGACGTCGAGCGCGCGCTGCGGCGCCGCGAGGGCCGGGAGCGGGACGTCGAGGCGAAGCGGCGCGGCGCGGACCGGGCCGCGGCCGACGCGGCCATGCAGGCCACGCTCGCGGCCATGGAGGCGCCGCCGAAGGAGGACGGCGCCCGGTGGTGGTGGCCCTTCGATGGCGCGGCCGACGAGAAGAAGCGCGACGCGAAGCAACCGGCGCTGCCGGAGCTCGCGGCGGAGACGACGGCGTCGATCCGCGCGCGCTTCGAGCGCCCCCGCGCCTTCGTCGTGCGCGTCCGCGGCGGCGTCCGCGGCCGCCTCGAGACCTTTCTGTAACCGCGATCTCCCCGGTAGGTCGACGACCGCCACGGCCTCCGCGAGGTGCGGGCCCAGGTCGACCGCGTCCTCGCCGTCGTCCGGCCCGGCGACGAGGCCGTCGTGCTCGTCGAGTCGCCCGGCGGCGAGGTCTCGGCCGTCGGCGCCGTCGCGGGCCAGATCCGGCGTCCCGGGGCCGCGGGGGACGTCGACCGGGAGAACTCATCGCGCGTCGTAGGCCAGATCGCGCGCCTGCGCCGCGCGACGCGCGCGACGGCCTGCGTCGACGCCATCGCCGCGAGCGGCGGCTACATGGCCGCCGTCGTCGCCCACGAGGTCCCGCGCCGGCGCGACGCGCGCCCGGGACGCCGTCCAACGCCGCCGCTCCCGCCAGGTCCGCGCGGCGCCCTTCGCGCTCGTCGGCTCCGTGGGCGTCGTGTCCTACGTGCCCAACGTGCAGCGGCTCTGCGAGCGGAGCGAGATCGACGTCCACGCGCGGACCGGCGTCGCGGCCCCTCGACGTTCCACGACTCGCGCCCTCGCGCAGGTGCTCACGGCGGGGAGCGACAAGCGCACCGTCGACGTCGTCGGCGTCGTCACGCCCGAGGACGAGCGCAAGGCGCGCGAGGAGCTGCGGCTGATCCACGATGTTTTCAAGTCGCACTGCGTCAAGTACCGCCCGCGCCTCGCCGACGACATCGACTCGCTCGCGTCCGGCGCGGCGTGGCTCGGCGCGCACGCGCTCTCGCTCGGCCTCGTCGACGCCGTCGACACGTCCGACGACTACCTGGCGCGGCTGGAGCGGGCCGCCGGCGTCCCGCGAGGGTTTGGTCGGCGAAACCGCGCTCTCGGTAGGCGGACGCGCGACTTCGAGGTCTTCGACGTCGTCCGCGAGAAGCCCAAGGGCCCCCTGACGAAGGCGCTGTTCGGCGGCGACGAGGACGACGTCCTCGCCGCCGCGCCGACGGCCGCGTCGCTCCGGGGGGCGTTCCCGCGGCTCCTCTGCGCGCCCCTGGCCGCGGGGCTCCGCTGGCGCCGCGCGCTGCGGCAGGCGCTCAGCGGGCCCGCGGTCGCCGAGGCGGTCGTGGCGGCGCGGACGCCGTTCCTCGCGGCGCGGCCGGGGGCGTTCGCCGCGTAAGAGGCGCCGCTGAGGCGCCGCTGGCACCTCGCAAGAGGCGCCGCTGGCACCTCAGAGTCGACGTCCGCGCCGCGTGAGAGGCGCCACTGGCACCTGAGGCGCCGCTGGCACCTCGTAAGAGGCGCCACTGGCACCTGAGGCCGCGTAAGAGACGCCACTGGCACCTCGTAAGAGGCGCCACTGGCACCTCTCCGCCGTCGGTTAGTGGCGTCACCACGGCAATTGACCAGGTAAATTCGTAAGAGGCGCTCAGCCGGGCTGGCCACTGGCAGCCTGTTGCTCCTCGAAAAAGTTACAGGATCGCGTCCCCGGCGATGATGATGATCTCTTCGCCGTGGCGCGCGCCGCCCTTGCCGCCCCGGAGGTCGAAGAGCGACTCCGACACGAGGCGCGTGATCTCCCGCAGCTCGTACTCGTTGAGGTTCGTGAGCACGCGGAACTCGAAGACGCCCGCCAGCTCCGACGCGAACGTCGAGTGGTCCGCGGCGAGCGTCAGCACGAGCCGCGTCGGCGTGCCCGCGCAGATGTAGACGCCCTCCCACTCGCCCACGAGCGAGTCGTCCTCCCAGGACCCGTCCGGCGACGAGTCCTCGTTGCGCTGCAGCGTGAAGCGGCTGCACGCGTCCATGACCGCGCCGTCCTCGTCCGTGATCTCGCCCGTGAGCGTGCAGTTATCTTCGAAGGTGCCCTTGAGCCCGACGGAGATCCAGCCCGGCGGCTGGTCGACCCACTCGCCGGCGACGAGCTCGAAGTCGCCGGCCTCGCTCGGCAGGTGGCCGTAGACGTAGAACGCGCCGCCGATGGCCTCGTCCGCGTCCTCGCTCTCGAGGCCCTGCTTGAGGTGCTGCTGCACGAGACCGAGCAGCCGCTCGCGCCAGCTCGCGCTGGCCTGGGTCGATTCCGGCGCGGCGATGGGGCTCTTGTTGTTGACGAAGGCGCAGGACGGGCCGGTCAAAGAGGTGCAGAGCTGCGCACTCGCGTGTCTGAGGAGGAGGGTGAGGAGCGCGACGACGGTGCGCATGGAGTGTTGTCGGTGTGCTATATCGATCGATGCACCATGTCGATGCCACAGTCGCTCTCGCCGGGGGACGGGCCCCTGCGCGACGGTCCGGCCCCGGGACGGGGGGCGGGGACGGCGGGCACGGGGGTTCCGGCACGGTAAATGCGCTCAGGGCACGCGGCCCGGCACGGGCCCGGCACGCGGCACGGCACTCGGCACGGGCCCCCGGGCACGGGCCGGGCACGGGCCACGCGGCCCGGCACGGGCCCGGCACTCGGCACGGGCCCCGGGCACGGGCCGGGCACGGGCCGGGGAGGCCCGGCACGGGCCCGGCACGGGGCCCCGGGCACGGCCCGGGCACGGGCCGGGGACGTGGCCGGGGACCGCGGCACGCACCGTCGCGCAGGGGCCCCTCGGGGGGGGGGTCTTTGGATTTCAGCGCCGCGCTCGACGCGGGCCTCGGGACTGATCTATGCGGCGCGGGGGTGCGCGTGTCTTGCACGTTGCTAGCTTGGGATGCGTCTGGGCAGCGGACGGTGAGGCGGGCGGTCGCCGCCATTCTTCCCACGCACGTCAGTGGGTCGGCTGGAGCGACGAGCTGCCAATAAGACCTCTCGATCCGAGCCTTGTTGCGCGACGCTCGCGCCGCTTCCCGCGCGACGCTCGCGCAAGCATGTCGCTTACGTGTTGCCGCCCATTGCCTCCCTCCAGCTGACAGTCCCCCAAGACTGACCAAGTAGGCTCCAAGTTGCACTCGAGCTCTTGCCCCGGCGAATATGACGCGCTGGAAGCAATCTTTGTACACGCACTGCTACCGCGTCCCCCGTAGCCGCCGTCGCAGTGTCGTATCGCTCCGCTTTCAACCGGATTCGCGGCTCCAACGCGCGCAAGACTGCTCCCACAGCGCTCCCACCAACCCACCGCAACACCCACCGTCGAAGATGGCGCGTCATTCGCCCACCGTCGCCAGGATTCGTCGCGTGACGTTCCTGGTGGCCTTCTCCGGATTCGCCGCGGCCTCGTCGGTGACCAAGGCGCCCCTGCGCCCCGCGAAGCTCGCGCTCAACGCGCCGCGCGTGTCGCCGAGCCTCCTCAACCTCGACGACACGTTCCTGAACGTGGGCGGCGAGAACGCGTGCTCGGGCCGGCTGCTCAACGCCGACGAGGAGGTGGCCCTCGCGCGCGAGGTCCAGCGGCTGCGGTCCTACGAGGACGTGCGCGCGACGCTCGGCGAGGAGCTCGGGCGGGCCGCCGAGGACGTCGGCGAGGCGGCCTGGGCGCGCGCGCTCGCGGTGTCGGCCGACGACCTCCGGGCCGCGCGGTCGCGCGGCGTCGACGCGCGGTCGACGCTCACGAGCGCGAACCTGCGCCTCGTCGTGTCCATCGCGAAGCGCTACCGCTTCTGCGGCCTCGCCCAGGAGGACCTGCTCCAGGAGGGCGCCTTTGGCCTCTCGCGCGCCGTCGAGCGCTTCGACCCCGAGCGGGGCTTCCGGTTCTCGACGTACGCGACGTTCTGGATCCGCCAGGCCGTGCTCCGGGCCTGCGCGGAGCAGAGCCGGGTCATCCGCCTCCCGGCGCACGTCCACGACCAGCTCGCGTCCATGCGCAAGGCGTCCGCGGAGCTGAGCCGGCGCCTCGGCCGCGACGCGACGGACGACGAGCTCGCGGACCACCTCGAGCTCGAGAAGCCGGAGAAGCTCGCCTTCCTCCGCAGGTGCGCCGCCCAGGACCCCTCGTCCCTCGACGAGAAGCACGCCATCCACGCGGGCCGCGGCTCGTCCGTCGGCGGCGGCGGCGCGGCGGGCGCGACGACGATCGCCGAGTCGCTGAGCGACGACACAATCCTCGTGCCCGACGAGTTCGTCGCCGAGGCGGCGAGCCGCGAGTACGTCGGCGATTTGCTCGCCACCGTGTGCAACGACCGCGAGCGCGACGTCCTCGGCATGCGCTTCGGCCTCTACGGCAACGCGCCCATCAGCAAGACGAAGATCGCGGAGCGCCTCGCCGTCTCCCGCGAGCGCGTCCGCCAGATCGAGGTCCGCGCGCTCACGAAGCTGCGCCAGACGCACAGAGCGAACCGCAACGAGGAGTACGCCCGGTCCCGGTGATCCCCGCGCGCGGCCGCCGCGGCCCCGTATAACGAGTTTGTCGATAGCGCGCACCGGCGCGAAAGGGGCGCCCGCGGTCTCGCCGCCGCCGGTGGACGAGCGGCGTGCGACGACGGAGCGGCGGCGCGCGGGCCGTCTTCTTCATCGTCTTTTACGCGGGGGTCCCCGCGCCTCGGGGCTGGCTCACGCCTTGCGCATGGCGGCCAACGTCGCCTCGAGCTCGGCGACGGACTGCTTGCGCACGTCGAGGGGGGTCGGCTCGCCGCGGAGCTTGTACTGGCCCTCGACGCGGCCGAGGAGCTCGTGCCGCCTCTTGGCCGCGTCGAGGCGCGCGGACGCCTCCGCGCTCATGCCCGGGTACGCCTTGGCCTTGGCCGCGGCGTCGGCTTTCGCCTTGGCGTCCGCGGCGGCTTTCGCGTCGGCGGCGGCTTTCGCGTCGGCGGCGGCTTTGGCCTTGGTCGCGGCGTCGGCTTTCGCCTTGGCGTCGGCTTTCGCCTTGGCGTCCGCGGCGGCCTTGGCGTCCGCGGCGGCCTTGGCGTCCGCGGCGGCCTTGGCCTGCTTGGCCTGCGCCGCGGCCTTGGCGTCGGCCGCGGCCTTGGCGTCGGCCGCGGCCTTGGCGTCGGCCGAAGCTTTGGCGTCGGCCGAAGCTTTGGCGTCGGCCGCGGCTTTGTCTTTGGCCGGCGGCGGCGCCTTGGTCTTGGCGCGCTGGGCCTTGAGCGCCGCCAATTCGGCCGCGGGGTCTTTCGTCGGCGCCTTCGGGTCTTTTCTCGACGCCTTCGCGGGCGCGGGCGCGGCGACGTAGGCCAGGGCCTTGGCGACCGGCCCCGCGAGGCCCGTGACGACGCCGACGACGAGCGTCGCGCGGGCCAGGGCCTCGTTCGCCTCCGGCGCCGCGGCGACGGCGGCGGCCCCGCCGATCGGGTCGCCCGCCTTGCCCGTGAGCAGGTGCATGAGCAGGGCGATGGCCGCGGCGCCTTTCGCCTTGACGCCTTCGAGCAAGGCGATCTCCGGGGCCTTGGGCTTCGCCTCCGTCTGCGCCGCCGGCGCCGCGGCGACGGCGGCGGCCCCGGCGGGCTTCGGATCGGCCGTGCCCGTGAGCAGGTGCATGGTATTGGCGACGGCCGCGATGCCGAGCGCCTTGACGAATGGAAGAACGTTGGCGTCGCCCTGGGCCTTGGGTTTCGCGTCGATGGCGGCCATCTTGCCGTACATCCGCTGCTGCTTCCGGAACTCGGCCTCCGGCATGCCGAGCTTCGGCGTCCTGCCCAACTTCGCGTACATCTCCGTGCGGCCCGAGCTGCTTCCGTACCCCGCGAGACTCTCCCGGAGCGCCGCGCGGCGCTGCTCGCCGCTCATCTGCTTGCGGGCCGCTTCGGCGGCCTCCTTCGCCGCCTTCTTGTCCTCCCGCTCCGTCGCCAGGCTTGTGCGGTCCGGCTTCGCGAGGCGCAAGGGCCCGAGAGCGCCGGCCATCGTCGCGAGCACCGCTAGGAGCACGGGAAGGCGCGCCATCGGCAATGTGACGATTGTCGATCGGAATCAGGTGCAACCAAAAGGTCAACCAAAGCTTCAACCGACGGCTGCGTGCAGCCGCCGACTCGGAGAAGCCGACGCACTCGCCGCGGACGAGGCGCGTCTCCCCACCGCGAACCCGAGGAGCCGCGCGTCCCCCCAAGGCCGCGCGGCACCGCCGGAAGAAATCACCGCGGCGAACCCAGCGAGACCGAGCCCAAAAGCACCTTGGAACTTTCCATCTTACTCCAGCTACTGCCCGGCCGAGAAGCCGCCGGGAAGATGGGCGCGGCCGCCGGGCGGTGCCTCGCCGTCGGCGGCGACGACGACCTCCTCCTCCTCGGCGCCGGCCGCCGCGTTGGCCGCCTCCGGGGCCGCCTCCGCCGAGGCCGCCGGGACCGCCTCCGCCGCGGGCTCCGGCGCGGCCTCCGGCGCCTCCTCCGCCGCGACCGCGGGCTCCGGCGCCTCCTCCGCCGCGGCCTCCGGCGAGGCCTCCGGCTTCGCCTCCGCCGCGGCCGCGGGCTCCGGAGCCTCGGGCGCGGCCGCCTCCGCGGGCGCGGCCGCCTCCGCGGGCGCGGGCTCCGGCGCCGCGGCGGGCTCCGGCGCCTTGGCCGGCTTCGCGGGCGCGGCCTCGGCCGCGTTGGCCAGCGGACGGCCTTGCGCTCCTTGGGCGCCGCGGGCGCGGCGACGGCCGCGCCCGCGGCCTTGGGCGCGCCCGCGGCGACGGCCGCGGCCCCGACGGCGGCCCCGCCGACGGCGGCGGCCCCGACGGGCGTCGCGTCGGCCACCTTCCTGCCCGTGATCCGGCGGAAGAAGTTGGCGCGTTTCGCCTTGAAGGCCTCCTCCTGGACGTCGCCCCGGACCTTGCCGTGCACCCGCTTCGCCTCCAGCTGCGCCTCGGTGACGGCCATCTTCCCGTACATCTGCTGCTGCTTCTGGAACTCGGCCTCCGGCATGCCGAGCTTCTTCGTCCGGGCCATCTTCGCGTAGAACTGCGCGCGGCCCGAGGCGCTGTCGTACTGCGCCATCTTGTCCTTGAGCGCCTTGCTGCGCTCCTCGGCGCTCATCTTCTTGCGGGCCGCCGCTTCCTCCTTCTTCTTCGCCTTCTCCGCGTCCTCCTCCTCCCGCGTCGCCATCTTCGCCTGAACCCCGTCCGGCCGCGCGAACCGCATCGCGGTCGCCGACGCGAGCACCGCCGCCAAGAGAGCGATGCGACGAAGAGCCATGCTATGACGCCCGCGATCGCGCAAGTTCAATGCGCATCAACACCCCAGTCCTGCCGCGCGGCCGCGGCGCCGGGCGACGCCTCGGGCGCGACAGGACTAAGCGTGGACTAGTACTCGCCGAGGCCCCCGTCACCCGGCGCGATGTGCTCGCGGCCTCAGAGGTTGAAGTCCGGGTGCTTGCGGATGACCTTGCGGAGCGTGCCCGGCCACTCGCGGCTGCCGTCGTACGCGTAGTCCGGCGAGAGCATCATGTCGGCGTACTGGGGGCGGAGGTGGCCCTCCGTCGGGTAGAGCACGCCGCCGTTCATGCCCAGCGTGCGGACCTGGACCTCGCAGGCCTGGTTGAGGTGGTAGGCGACGAAGAACGCCTCCGCTGGGGACGCGCCGATCGCGTACATGCCGTGGTGGTTGAGGAGCATCGCGCGCTTGCCGTCGGCGAAGCCCGCGGCCAGGTTGTCCTCGAAGGACGTCTCGTAGGTGAAGTCGTAGCCCTCGCGGGACACCTGGCCGTGGAGGAAGAAGGCCGCCTGCGACACCGGCAGGAGCCCCGCCTCCATGCCCGCCACCGCCATGACGGCCGGCGGGTGGATGTGGACGACCATGGCCGCGTCGGGCCGCGCCTTGAAGATGGCGGCAGCCACGGGCAGGCAGCCCATGTTCGAGACGTCCGGCAGCGCGGGCGCGCGCGACCCGTCGGGCTCGACGAGATGCCCGTCGAAGTCGTACTTGAGCAGGTTCGACGCCGTCACCTCCTCGAAGAAGACGCCCCACTCGTGCATGAGGAACTCGTCGCGCGTCTCCGTCGTCCGCATCATGACGCACTGCGCCGCGAGGTCGTCGCCCATGCCGTAGAGGTGCAGCGCGCGGTAGACCGCCGCGAGCTCCGTGCGGTCGCGCCACTCGCGCGCCGAGACCTTGAGCGGGTTGCGCTTCGCGTGCTGCTTGCGCACGCTGTCGGGCGTGCGGTCCGCGGGCGCCTTGAGCACCTGGTTCACGCTCACGGGCACGACCAGGTCCGGGTGCGCGGCGCACTCGGCCACGGTCGTGCAGTAGGCCGTCGTCGTCGTCGCCGCCGCCGCCGCCGTGTCGTTGCCCTCGCCCATGGGGCAGCGGCCCGTCGCGCAGTCAAAGGCCGCCGCCCGGGCCAACAGGGCAGCCGCGAGGATGCGCGCCAAATTAAAGGCCATCATCTTGTGGGTTCTTCAATTTGCACCCTTCAAGGCGCTTGGTTGGACTTAACGGGTCGTGCGCCCGACTGATGCCCTTTGGCCGGGGGAGGGAGGGGAGGGAGGCCGCGGAGAAAACCAGAGCGATTAGTTGGACTGGTTATTGAAGGGGACGCGCGCCCGACGGTCTACGCCGGGACCGCCGTCGCGCTCTCCGTTCGCCTCGGGCCGCGCCGCGAACCGGAGCGAGGCGCGGCCCCGCCTGAGCCGGCGCGAGGCTCGCGACCCACGCTTCGAGCACGGGCTCGGCGACACCCATAGCCCCTCAAGAAAAAAAATCCGCCTCGTTACCGCTTCCGCCGCTTGCCGCCCTTCTTCTTGGGGCCGCGCTCCGGCGGCTCGGGCGCGGCGGCCGCGGGCTCGTCCGCGGGGTACGTGTAGAGGACCTCCGTGCGGATGACGAACTTGTTGCGGTCCGTGACCGCGGAGCCCTCGTGGATGAGGGAGCCCGTCGTCTCGCCGTGGGGGAAGAAGAGGACGGAGCCGCGGCGCGGCTGCACCGCGGTGACGGCGACGCGCGGCGCGGCGCCGTCGGCCGCGTCGGCCGCGGCGAAGAAGGCCGTCTCGCCGCCCTCGAAGTCGTCGTTGAGGTAGACGAGGCAGGTCAGCTTCGACAGGCGGTCCCCGAAGGCGTCGTAGACGTAGCGGGGCCGCTCCGGCGGGCCGCCGAGGCCCGAGCCCGGCCACGCGCCGTCGACGTGGGGCCGGTACGTGCCGCCCGCGTCGTATTTGTAGCAGCGCCAGCGCCGATTCAGGCCGGCGAGCGCGCCGACGCCGCGGCGCCGGCCCCGCGCGTCGCAGCAGTCGTCGAGCGCGGGAGGGAGGAACGGCGCGACGCGCGCGAAGAAGCCGTCGTTGAGCGCGTCGTCCGCGACGAGGACGCACGCGCGGCTCCGCAGCGAGTGGTCCGTCGTCGGCGTCGAGGCCGGCGGCGGCGGCGGCGGCGTCGCGGCGCCGTCGCCGTCGTCGGACGACGAGTCGAGGCAGCCGAACGCGCCGGACGATTTCGACTTTTCGTGCTCGAGCGCCGCGCGCTCGCGGTCGCCCAGGGGCTCGTCGCGCTCGAAGCCCAGGGCCGACGCGGCGCCGAGGAGCGCGGCGCACTCGGACGCGCTCAGCGCGTCGACGACGACGAAGCCGCCGGGCACGCCGGCGACGTCGACGCGCCGCGGCGCGGCGTCGCCGTCGAGCGCGACGGCGCCGGGCCGGCTCGCCCAGACCGTCAGGTCGTGGCGGTTCGGCGGCTGGCGCTGGGCCGCCCGCTCGCGCAGCGCGACGAAGAACGACGCGGCGACGTGCGCGTCCGAGGGCCGCGCGGCGGCCGGCGCCGCCGCCGCCTCGCGCGGCGCGGCGACGAACAAGTCGCGCGACACGACGGCGTCGCTCGGCGGCGCGCCCGCGCCCGCGCCCGACGCGACGCGGCACAGGAGCCAGAGCAGCGCCCGGCTGAGCTCCGGCGCGTCGTCGCGCGCCGCGTCGGCGTCGCGCACCCAGCGCTGGAGCGAGCCCAGCTTCACGGCCGACGCCTCGCACTGCGTCAGCGCGAAGAGGCCGTCCAGCGCCTGCCGCCAGCGCGCGTTAGTGAGATGCTCGGAGACCTCGTGGCTGAGCTGCTTGGGCGAGACCTTCTGCTTGGCGCCGGCAGCTTTCGGAGCCACCATACTCTTGCTGCGGTGCAAACTTTTGCCGTTCGATCGCCGAAAAATAGGCTCCGGCGCGTTACGACTCGGCGCAGGTCTGGGCGCCGGTGTAGCCGAGGTCGGCGGCGTCCTTCTTGCGTACGTACTGGAGGAGGTAGGCGCCGACGGAGGCGCCGTTGCGGTAGTCCGTGCCGTCCGCGTCCGCGGCGACGACGGCCGCGTCCACGGGCGTGACGCGGTCGTCGTCGAACTTGACCCAGTTGCCGTCGAGGTTCGGGTCGACGTAGGCGTAGTAGTGGCCCCCGAGGCCGCCGCCGACGTGGATGACGACCGCGTGGAGCGCGTAGGCCTCGCCGTCGTCGTCGACGCCGAACGCGGCCGCGTCGAGCTCGAAGGGCACGCGGACGCGGTTGCCCAGCTTGCGCACGCGGTCGTAGGCGTAGTCGTAGGCGAAGCGCTTGAGGTGGAGCACGAGCACGGGCGGCAGCGCGCCGAAGCGCACGCCCTTGCGCGCGTCGCACGGCCCCAGGTCCGACTTCCACCGGTTCTCGCCCGACAGCGTCTCCGGCGCCAGGTAGGCGCCCAGCGCGCCCTCGACGTCGTCGACGCCGTCGACGTCGAGGCTCACGTCCAGGAAGCGCTCCACGCGGCTCCGGCTCGGCCGCTCGCCGAGGCGCTCGGCCTCGTCGTCCGTCGCCTCGAGGTAGCTCTCCAGCGCGCCCTCGTAGAGCGTGCGCACCGTGCCCGCGACGGGCGCCTCGAGCAGCTCGCCGACGAGGATGCGCAGGTACTCCTGCGCGTCCTGCTGCTGCATGCCGCTCACGCGCAGCGACCGCGTCAGCGCGCCGGTCCGCGCCGTCGAGTTGCCGCGCAGCGTCGCGAAGACGCGCGCGAGCGCCAGCGCCGGCACCTTGGGCCGCAGGCGCGCCAGCGGGCCCCGCTTCGCCGGCGCCGGCGCGTCGTCGATGACCGCCGACCGGAGCTTGGGCACGTGGTAGAGCGTCTGGAGCAGGCTGTTCAGATAGCACGTGTTGCCCTGGTTCCGCAGGCCGCCGAACTGGGCGCGGCCCGCGGCGCCGGCGACGCAGAGAGCGGCGTAAAGGACGGCGCGCATGCTTGGGCTGGAAGATCCGCGATTTTAGAGATTGAGGCGCACCATCATCGACAGGATTTGCCGATTTTGCCGAGCCGATTTCTTGCCACAAGCATGGACGCCTCCTTTGCAAGCTCTTAGCCGACAACCAGCCCGTTCCAAGCCGCAAAAAATGGCTTTGGCAGCCCCTCCGACGACGCGCGCCCTGCGGCGCGTCGTGGTGACCGGCATCGGCTGCGTCTCGCCCGTCGGCGCCACGGCTCCGGAGACCTGGGCCGGCGTCCTCGCCGGCGCGTCGAACGCGCGGCGCCTGACCTTCGGCGGCAGGGAGTACCTCGCGGCGCCGGCGCACGAGGGCGCGGCGATCCCCCGCGCGCGCGACCGGAGCCGCTTCATCAACCTCGCGGTCGCCGCGGCCGCCGAGGCCGTCGCCGACGCGGGCTCGACCGCGCTGGCCGTCGCGCCGGAGCGGCGCGGCGTCTGCGTCGCGTCGGGCATCGGCTCCCTCGGCGACGCGGTCGGCGCCGCGGAAACGCTCGCGGCGGGCAGGAAGCTGTCGCCCTACTTCGTGCCGCGGCTCCTCGCGAACATGGCCGCCGGCGCGGTCGCGGTCGACCACGGCTGCCGCGGCCCGCTGACGACGTCCGCCGCGGCCTGCGCCGCCGGCGCCATGTCCATCGGCGAGGCCTACCGCTTGATCGAGGCGGGCCGCGCGGACGTGGTGCTCTGCGGCGGCGCGGAGTCGACCGTCGACGAGGCGGCCGTCGCGGGCTTCGCGCGGCTCCGCGCGCTCAGTAGCTACGCGGGCGACCCGGCCAAAGCGTCGCGGCCCTTCGACGAAGCCCGCGCGGGCTTCGTGCTCGCCGAGGGCGCCGCCGTGCTCGTGCTCGAGGACCTCGAGACCGCGGCGGCGCGCGGCGCGCGCGCCTACGCGGAGGTCCGGGGCTTCGGGCTCTCGGCGGACGCGCACCACGCGACGGCGCCGCGGCCCGACGGCTCCGGCGCGCTCGCCGCCATGGTCGAGGCCCTGCGGGGGTCGAACCTCGCCTTCGACGACGTCGGCTACGTCAACGCGCACGCGGCGTCGACGCCGCTCGGCGACGCCGCCGAGGCCGCCGCGATCGCCGCGGCGTTCGCCGGCCGCGAACACGACCCCGTCCTCGTCTCCTCGACCAAGGGCGCCACGGGCCACCTCCTCGGCGCCGCGGGCGCCCTCGAGGCGGCCATCACGGCCCTCGCGCTCCGCGACGGCGTCGCCCCGAGGACCGCGAACCTCGAGAACCCGCTGCCCGTCGGCGGCGCGCTGCGGCTGCTGCGGGACAACGAGCCCGCGGCCCTCGCCTGCGCCCTCTCGAACAGCTTCGGCTTCGGCGGCACGAACGCGTCCCTCCTCCTCGCGCGGCCGCCGGCGGACCTCGTCGACGCGCGCGGCGCCGAGGCGGTGGGTTAAGCCAATGAAAGGAGGGCTTCGCCACGCGGCTTGGACCAGTCGAGCTGGAAGGAGATCTCCGCGGCGGCCGCCATCTACGACGAGCCGGGGTACGTAGCGCAGTCCGAAGACTACATCTGACACACTGCTTGTCCGTCTAGAAGACCTCGAAGAGCTTCCCGTACAGGTCACAGAACATGGCGGCGCTCGAAGAGGAGGACAAGGAGCCCGAGGCGCCGACGTTTTCGTGGATGCCCGCCGACTGCGTTCCCATGGCCGACGGCGAGTACGACGCCATCGTCATGGGCACGGGCCTGAAGGAGTGCATCATGTCCGGCCTTTTGTCGACCATGGGGAAGAAGGCGCGGCGCCGGCGTCCCGCCTTTTTTTTTCTCCGGTCTCCGCGCGGCGCGGCGGCGGAGCGCGGCCGCGGCGGTTTCCGGGCGGCCGCGCGGCGCCGCCGCGGGAGCCGGACCGAAACCGCGCCGCGCCGGGGCGTCGCGTATCGCCGCCGTTTCGAAAGCCGACGCGTTCCCGCGAATTTTCGCCGCCGCTTCGAAAACCGACGCGTGCCCGCGCCCTAGGTCCTGCACGTGGACCGGAACCAGTACTACGGCGCCGACAGCGCGTCGCTGAACCTGTCGAACTTGTTCGCCAAGTTCAACGGCGGCAAGCAGCCCGAGGACCGCTTCTTCGAGATCCTCGGCCAGAACCGGGACTACAACATCGACCTCATCCCCAAGTGCATCATGGCCTGCGGCAAGCTCGTCAAGATCCTGCTCCACACCAAGGTCACGCGCTACTTGGAGTTCAAGAGCCTCGACGCGTCCTACGTCTACCGCAGCGGCAAGGTCTACAAGGTGCCGGCGACGGGCGGCGAGGCGCTGAGCTCGTCGCTGCTGGGCCTCTTCGAGAAGCGGCGCTTCCGCCAGTTCCTCGTCTACCTCCAGGGCTACGACAAGGACAAGCCGGAGACGCACAAGGGCAAGGACCTCACGGTCATGACCATGCAGCAGCTCTACGACTACTTCAGCCTCGAGAAGCTCACGCAGGAGTTCGTGGGCCACGCGATGGCGCTCCAGACCGACGACTCCTACCTGTCCAAGCCCGCGCTGCCGACGGTCATGGCGATCCACCTCTACGTCTACTCGCTCGACCGCTACGGCACGTCGCCCTACATCTACCCCATGTACGGCCTCGGCGGCCTGCCCGAGGGCTTCTCGCGGCTCTGCGCCATCCACGGCGGCACGTTCATGCTCAACCGGTCCGTCGACGAGGTGCTCTTCGGCGCCGACGGCAAGGCCTGGGGCATCAAGGGCGGCAACGAGGTCGCCAAGGCGCCCCTGATCCTCGGCGACCCGTCCTACTTTGCGAAGCACGGCAAGTGCGCGTGTACGGGCAAGGTCGCGCGGTCCATCTGCTTCCTCAACCACCCGATCCCGAACACGAACAACGCGGAGTCGCTCCAGATCATCATCCCGGCCGCGCAGCTCAAGCGCAAGAACGACATCTACATCGTCCTCGTGTCCAACTCGCACCAGGTCGCCGCGCCGGGCAAGTACGTCGCCATCTGCTCGACGACGGCCGAGACGGCGGACCCCATCAAGGAGCTCCAGCCCGCGCTCGCGCTCCTCGGGCCCATCATGACCAAGTTCGACGACTGCGTCGAGCTCTACGAGCCCACGGCCGACGGCACCGCCGACAACTGCTTCATCTCCAAGTCCTTCGACGCGACGTCCCACTTCGAGAGCTCGTCCGCGGACGTCCTCTCCCTCTACAAGCGCATCACGGGCGCGGACCTCGACCTCAACATCAACGCGGACAGCACGAAGGGCGACTACTGAGCCGGCGTATTTTCGGCGGCGCGCCGTCCGCTCGCGCGCCGCGCGGCGCGCTCCCCCCGTTGTCCCCCGTAAAGACGGCGCTGCAACATAACATATCCCGCCGGCGGGATATGTCAAGTGGTGTTTCAAACTTTAAGTTAACAAATCCTGCCGGCGGGATATGTTAAACACGAAGGGCGCGGCGCGGCGGACCGCGCGTGTCCGGGATGATGTCCCGGCCGGCGCGGGCACGTCAGAGTTCGGCGAAGAGGACGACGCCGACGCGGCCCAGCGCCGCGGGTCCCGCGCCCGCGCCGCGGAGCCGGAACGCGCGCGCGCCGTCGAGCCAGGCCGAGACCGCCGCGGGCCAGGCGGCGACGTCGAGGCCCAGGCCCACGTAGCGCCCCGCGTAGAACAGCGCCGCCGCGACGCAGGCCGCGTAGATGTGGTACTTTTTGTCCTCGAGCCAGACCTGGAAGATCGCCGAGGGGTCGCCCTGCTTCGCGGCGACGCGGCACCACCGCTCCATCATCGCCTCCACGCGGTCCTCGCTGAGGTGCGGCGTGAGGCCCTTCATGAACAGCATGGCGACGCAGTAGATGCCCATCTGGTGGTCCTGCTCCGCGGCGAGCGTGATCCAGTAGACGGCCTCTCGGAACGTGTCCTCGACCTTGTCGCGCGTCACGCCCGCGTTGAAGCGGCCGCGCTCCGCGTCGTGGTAGAGTTCGGCGCCGAGGTTGCACTGGGCCTGGGCGCAGCCCTTCTTCGCGGCCTCGTGCCAGACGGCCATGGCCTCGTAGAGGTCCTGCTTCGTGCCCCGGCCCTTGGTCATGAGGTAGCCGAGCGACGTCGCGGCCTGGAGGCTGCCCCGCTTCGCGGCTCTGCGGTAGAACTTGACGGCCTTCCGGTCGTCCTGCTCCCCCAGCAGGCCGTCGCGGTGCGCCGTCGCGAGGACGTTCAGCGCCTCGGGCACGTCCTTGCGCGCGAGGCGCTCGAGCCGCGCGAGCGACGCGGCGTGGTCCTTCGGCGGCGGCGCGTCGCAGAGCGGGCACGGGTCGCGGTAGACGCGCTCGTGGCAGTCGAGGCAGACGATGCGGCAGCAGCAGAGCCGCAGCTTGCGGAGCGAGTTCACGTCCCAGGCCGCGCGGCACACGGGGCACTCGCTGCCCTCGACCGGCGTCCGCGCGGCGCTCGCGAGCGCGCCGCGGCGGCCCCTGGGCACGGCCGGGCCCGCGACGCTGGCCTTCTTCGACTCGAGCTCCGCCTCCTTGCGCTCGCGCGCGGCCTCGTCCCGCGCCTTGATCCGCGCGCGGATGTCGTCGACCGCGGACCGCGGCGCGGGGCCGAAGACGGGCGCCGGCGCCTCCGGCTCCGCGGCCTTCTTCTTCTCGGCCTGGATCTTCTTGCACACCGCGCGGTGGCCCCGCTCCTTCCAGTCCTTGCGCTGGCAGTCGAGATCACAGTATTGCGTGATACCGCAAGGACAATTGAGCTTCGCCTTCTCGCCGCAGACCGAGCAACTCGCGCGGAGCGCGCGCGCTTTCCTCCGCGCGTTCACTTCCTCGTACTCCTTCTTCTTCGCGCGCCAGTCGTGGCCGTCGGCGTTAGACATGGGTTGACGACCCGGGCGCGGGCGTTGTTTCTCACGTCGAGGTCGGCGACCGCGCGACGGGCCGCGTGTCCGAGGCGTGGCGCGGCGCCGTCGACGAGGCCGTTTGCGAATCCGGCGAGCGTCGGCTGTTCACGCGATCGACGACCCGGAATTTCGCGTCGGGGGAGCTATCGACGCTCAGAGGTTGTCTTATGGCGCTTCTCTTGCTTTGTGCTCAGCACACATCTGTGGACTTTCACGAGATTATCCTGGCCCTCCCGAGAGGCCTCAGAGGCCTCCTCCAGAAGGGGGGTTCGCGGGGTACCTCGGCGAACCGAGCTAGCCGGCGGCGCAAGGTCGCCGACTAACCGCCGCAGCAGAAGTCGGTCGTGAGGGTGGCGAGGGCGGCACGGTCCGCGAGGCGGCGCGCGCCGTCCTCGAGTCGGCGGGAGAGGGATCGCGTGGCGGTCTTCCAAGAGCCGTCGGCGAACTTGAAGCCGGAGATCAGGTAGCGCGCGCGAGTACTCGCGGCGGTGGTGCTCCACTCGCGGTGGAGCTCGTTGCTGAGCTGGGGCCTCGCCTGGTCAGGACTCCGCAGCCCAGCTCTTCGGCGAGCTTTGGGCGCTTGTGGACATTCCTCGCGTCATCGTCTTACGCGATTTCGACCCGCCGCTGCCGTATAACCAGACCCAACGATGCTCGACGCGGACCCGAGCGCGCTCCTCCTCGCGCCGCTCGCGCTGAGCCTCGACAACGAGTTGGGTGCGACATACCTCAAGATGTACGCCGCTTTGGCGCCGGTCGCCAAGGAGCGCGTCCTCGGGCTCGACGACTGGCCGGAAATGCGCCCCGTCGTCGGCGGGCTCGCGAAGCCGCTCGACCGCGCGTGCCGTGCGGCGGACGAGCGCGTGCGGGCGATCTGCGACGAGCACGCGGGCGCCCCGCGTCCGCGACGACTCGTCCGGAACCGTCGCTCGTCGTCGTCTCGCGCGGCCTAAAAGAGGCGAACCTGCAGGCGACGCGCGTCGACCGCATGCTCCAGGCGCACGAGGCGCGCCTCGCGTCCCTGCCCGGGGGCGATCTGCGCGAGCGCGGCCGCGGCGCCGCCGCGCTTCCGGGAGCGGACAAGCCCCCGACGGACGACGAATCGGAGGAGGAGGACGAGGAGGAGGACGCGGCGCGGCCCTGGGGCACGTACCATGGCGCCGGCGTCGAAGTCTAAAGCGGGATGCCGACGAAACCTCGCAGGTCCCCCGCGGCGGAAGCGAGCGGGTCGCGCGAGCCGTGGGCGCTCGAGGACGCGCCGCGCCCCGCCGCGGCGGACGACGACGATGGCGGCGCGCGCGTGCCGAAGCGCCGCCGGGTCCCGGAGCCGCGCGCGCCGTCGACGGCCGACTCCGACTCGCGACGGTACGAGGACGGCGAGGACGACGACTCCGCGCGAGCCCGCGCCTTCTTCTCGTCGCTCGGTGTTCATCTCATCACGCAGGAGCCGCCCCTGCGCTTCGACGAGTGGTACCCCACGATCTCCCAGGAAAGCCGCAAGGGCCCCTCGAACAAGCTCGCGCGCCGCGGCGTCGCGCCGGCGTCGCCGGCGTCGCCGCAATTCGCGCCGCGGCGCCCGCCCGCGTCGCAGCCCCGCGAGGAGTACGAGTTCGACGACGACGGCGTGCAGGACTCGGGCCTCGTCAGCCTCCCGCGGCCGGCGCGCGCCGGCTGGAGCCGCAAGACCGCCTTCTACGACACGTAGGCCCCGCGCCACTTCGGCCTTTGAGCGCGGTACCGGACGGCCTTTAAGAGCGGTACCGGACGGAGAGGACGCGGTAGTGCGCCGCGTGGCGCGTCTCGTTCTCCGCGCCCGTCGCGCCGGACGCCGAGGAGAGGAGGTCGTAGCGCTCCTCGGAGACGTCCGCGCCGTCCGCGAGGAGCGCGGCCGCGAGGTCGTAGAGCGTCGAGCGCGTCGTCGGCGCCACGATCAACCCCAGCTTCGGCCGCAGCCTCGCGAGGTAGCGCGCGAGCGCCTGGGCGTGGTCCGCCAGGTAGGCGATGTCCGCGCCGAGGACGACGTCCGGCGCCGCGCCCGGCGCCGGCCGCTCCGCGTAGTCGAGCGTCGCCGCGCGGAGGCCCGAGGCGCCGGCGCGGTCCGCGTTCAGCCGCAGGTGGTCGACGACGTCGGGCAGCGCGTCCGTCGCGGTCACGGTCGCGCGGGGGAGGCGCCGGCTCACGTCGACGGAGGGGAGGCCGAGGCCCGCGCCGAGCTCCAGCACGGACCCGTCGGGCGCGACGCTCGCCTTCGCCCGCAGGTAGAGCGCGAGCACGAGGCTCGACTCCCAGAGCCGGTCGCCGACGACGTTGTAGTCGCGCTCGAGGAGCTCGTACGCGTCGCCTCCGCCGAAGTCGAAGCGCCGCGCGCCCGGGAGCGCCTCGACGTCGACGCGCCCGAGCGCCGCCCGCGCGGCGACGTCCCCCGCGGCCACCGTCTCCGGCAGGTTCCCGTCCCAGGCGGCGGGCGTCGCGCAGCGCGCGCCCGCGCCCGCCGCCTCGCCCGGCGCGGCGGCGACGACCTCGTAGCGCGTCGCGGCCCAGCTGTCGGGGCTCGCGGCGAGCAGCAGCTGGGGCGCCTGCTGCGCGACGGCGAGCGCCTGCGCCTGCGCGAGCGCCAGGTAGAGGCGCAGCGGCACGGTGCGCATGTCCGCGCGGCACCGGCGGCGGAGCGTCGCCTCGGCGCCCCTGCACCAGCCGCGGAGTCGCTGAGAGAGCGGAAACGCGCGGATTTTTTACTGCGCGACGTCTGGGAGGTGCGAGCACGAGCTCGCGGACCGCGGAGTACTGCACGACTGAGAGGCGTTCTTCGCGAGTTCTGGCCTCCAGAGACGGTCGATCTCGACTGCACGGCAACATCAATAGAGCCGCAACGTGCCGTCGCGCAAAAGAAAAAAAGCAAAGCACCCTAAGGAGGCGATCAGCACGTGAAGGTCTCCGTGGCCGTGGCGCCGTACTGGTTGACGATGAGGAGCGTGCCCTCGCTGGGGATGTCGGCCGAGGACACGTCGACCGTCTGCGGGCGCCAGTGCGCCGCGAAGTCGAAGTCGCCCTTGGTCTGGAGCGTCCCCGCGGCGTCGTAGATCTTGTAGGTGCCGGACGTCTCCGAGGGCGACTTGTGCGTGTCGTGGGCCGTGAAGGACAGCGTCGACGCCTCGACGCAGGAGACGGAGTACGCGATGGGGTACTCGTAGAAGCGCTCGACGGAGTACGCGTACCAGCTCTCGTCGTCGATGGAGCACTCGTCGTCGGCGCAGGACCGGTCGCTGTAGAACTTGGCCTCGAAGGCGACCTCCGAGTCCGTCGTGACCTCGACGATCGCGCTGTCGTAGAGGTCCGCGGCCGTGTAGTACTCGGACTGCCACCACGTCGCGATGTAGTTGCCCGTGGGCACGAGGTCGTTGTCGCCGCCGACCTTGGTGTAGGTGCCCGTGGCGTATTCGAAGACGATCTCCGCGGACATGGCGTCCTCGTCGACCTGGACGACGAGCAGGCGCGAGCCCGCGGTCTCGTGGTCGTAGTTGTTGTCGAAGAGCGCGTACTGGTCCTCGCCGATGTACTCGGCGTTGTGCTGGCCCTTCCAGTAGGAGTGGCCCGCGGCGTAGGTGTAGCCGTCGAGGTCCGTCAGCGAGAACTCGCCGTCGTCGCCGCCGAGCTCCCAGACGAGCTCGCCCGTCTTCGCCTTGCCCTTGATGATGGAGTTCGTCAGGCGGCTGGAGAAGATGGCGTACTCGTCGTCGGCGAGGACCTGGACGTGGTTCAGGTCCTCGACGGTGCTGGGCACGTCGAGGGCCAGCGTGACCTCGCCGCTGTCGACGTTCGCGCGGCGGTACTCCGTGTCCTTGGGGTACCAGATCGCGCTGCCGTCCGTCGTCGATCGCTGGACGTCGTGGATGTCGACGGCGGCGTCGCAGAGCTCCTCGTAGTCGCCCGTCTTCCAGTCCATCTTGTAGGCGTTGCCGCCGAACTTCATCTGCTTGGCGCCCGCGAAGACGAGGTAGTCGTCGTTCCAGTTCTTGAGCCCCGCGGCGCGGCCGACCTCGCCGTCGATCTTCAGGGGCACGATGGTCTTGATGACGCCCTTCATGGACATGATGATGAACCAGGACGCGGAGCAGGCGTCGTCGTCCTCGTTGTAGACCATGTTGTACGCGATGTAGCCCTTGGCCGCGGCCGCGCCGATCTCGCCCTCGAGGAGGTCGCTGCGGTACCGGACCTCGATCTTCGACGGCACGAGGTAGTTGAGCCGCGCGTCCTTGACGGCGTAGCAGTCGGCCACGTTCTCCGTGTCCGCGACCCAGGCGCAGACCTTGTCGTAGGCCAGCAGGTCGTCGCGCGTGAGCGTCGTCGTCGTGTAGGCGCTCGACGCGTCGTCCAAGGCGAAGAGGGCGCCGATGCCGCGCGGCACGCCGGTGACGCGCAGGCCCACGACGGCGAGGCTCACGCCCGCCGCCGTCGCCAGGGCAGCCCGCCGACCGACGCGGACCATGCTGCCGAGTCTGCGCACCTCGATGTGAGGTTGATACGCGAAGGGCACCTTTTTTACCTGAAGCAATGCTGCCGCACAAAGAGCGGCGCCTCGGCATCGCGCCGCACCGACGCGGCCTCCGCGTTGCGCGATGGACGAAAGCCTCGTGCGCGCCTGCTGCGCGCTGCGGCGCGAGCTGCACGCGCACCCGGAGGCCGGCTTCGAGGAGACCTGGACGCAGGCGAGGCTCCGCGCCGCGCTCGTCGACATCGCCGGCGTCGACGCCGCCGCCATCGCGCCGTGCGCGCGGACGGGCTTGGTCGTGGACATCGACGGGCCCGGCGCGCCCGCGCGGCGCATCGCGCTGCGCGCGGACATGGACGCGCTGCGCATGCAGGAGGCGAACCCGCGGCTGCCGTACCGGTCGGCGCGCGACGGCTTCGCGCACATGTGCGGCCACGACGGCCACATGGCCGGCCTCGTGCTCGCCGCGGCGCTCCTCGCGCGGCGGCGCGACCGGCTCCCGCCGGACGCGGGCGTGCGCCTGCTCTTCCAGCCGGCCGAGGAGGGCGGGCGCTTCGAGGCCGGCTGGCGCCACGGCGGCGCGCTGCCGATGATCCGCGGCGGCGCGCTCGACGGCGTGGACGAGATCTACGGCCTGCACAACCTGCCCACGGCGCCCGTGGGCGCCGTGCGCGTCAAGGCGGGCGCCGTCATGGGCCGGTCGTCGGAGCTGCGGATCTCCGTGACGGGCGCGGGCGGCCACCGGCGTCCCGCGGCCGCGACGATTTTCGAGAGCTTTTGAGCGGGAAAACGAAGAAACTCGTTACCGACATGCTTGGTAGGCGGCCACGCCTCTCAGCCCCACAACGGCGTCGACCCCGTCGTCGCCGGCGCGCACGTCGTCGCGGCGCTGCAGACCGTCGTCTCGCGAAACGTGCCCGCGGCCGAGTCCGCCGTCGTGTCCGTCACGAACTTCCACGCGGGCTCCGGCGCGCTGAACGTCATCCCCGACGCCGCGCTGCTGACCGGCACGATCCGCGACTTCGACGACGGCGTCTTCGAGACCGTCAAGTCTGCGGTGACGCGCGTCGTCGAGGGCACGTGCGCCGCGCTCGGCGCGACGGCGACGGTGGAGATCGCGACCAAGTACCCGCCCGTCGTCAACTACAAGGAGGGCGCGGCCGCGGTCGCGCGCGCCGCGGCGCGCGAGGGCCGCGACGTCGACCTCGACGACGGGCTCCCGCTGCTCGCGGGCGAGGACTTCTCCTACTTCCTGCGACCGCAGGACGGCGGCCTCGCCCGGGGCGCGTTCTTCTTCGTCGGCGCGGCCGAGGAGCGGTACGCCGGGCACGCGTCGATCGATCTCGAGACGCCCGGCGCCTTCGCGGACGCGGGCGCGGCCTGCCGGTCGAACTGCACGCTCCACTCGACGAGCTTCGACTTCAACGACAACGCGCTGCCGGTGGCCGCGGCCATGTTCGTGCGCCTCGTGGAAGATCGGCTCGGCGCGGAGCTCTACCCCGAGGACCTTCGATAACAGCACCTTCCTAGGACACACGTGCAGGAAACCCAGCACCTTAGGACACCTTGACCCAGGACTCGTCGGAGCCGAGGGGGGCCGCGCCGTCGTCGTCGTCGTCGATCTCGAGCTCGCTCAGCTCGGGGATGGTCGCGGGCTGGTCCAGGAGGCTCTGGAACTCGTCGTCGTCGAAGTCGCGCTCCGTCGGCGCGTCGGACGCGACGCTCGCCGACTGGGCCGCGCGCTTCTTCGCCTTGCGCTTCGCCGCCTTGGACATGACCGTCGAGACGGCCGTCGTCGCGTCGTCGCCGTCCTCCTTGGCGCCGCCGGGCGCCACGAGCACGAAGCGCGGCAGCTTCGACAGGTCGACGCCCACGACGGCGTGGAGGTCGTAGGCCTTGACGACGGCGCCCGCGCGCCGCGAGGCCTCGGGGAGGCGCCGCGCGTCGGCCGGCACCGGGTCGTCGTCGGCGTGGCGCGCGACGTCGACGTCCTCGGAGAGGGGCGCCTTGCCGACGACGCGCACCTCGACCATGCTTTTCGTCGACGCGACGGCGTCGAAGGGGTTCTTGAAGTAGGCCTCCGCGTTGTAGTCGCGGAGCTCGCCCGTGACGACGTCCGCGAGCGCGATGGTCGCGCGGACCGACGTCGCGAGAAAAACCCGCCGGCCGAGCTTGACGAGGTCGTGCTTGGACACGGGCGGGATCTCGAGCAGGATCGTCCGCTGGAACTCCGCCGTGTTCGCCTTGGGGTCGTGCGTGACGAGCTTCTTGGTCCGGTTCGCGAGGCGCACGGGCGCGCGTCCCGCGCGCCGGAGCTCCTCGACGAAGGTCAGCGCCTCGCGCTCCTCGTCGAAGTCGACGTCCAGGCCCCGGCCGTGGGGCAGCCGGTGCGCCGCGAAGCGCAGCTCCCGCGGCCCGCCGCGCTTCCCCAGAGACCGCAGGAACTCCTCGAGGGACCGCAGCGTCCGCGCGCCCGCGGCCGCGTCGCCCGTGCGGAGCCGCGCGACGCGGATCTGCACGCGGCACCCGAAGTCGCCGCCGCCCTTGCCCATCTTCCGGTTCCGCTTCTCGCGCGCCTCGCCCGCGCAGTCGTCGCACTTGCAGCCCTCCTCGACGAACTCGAACTCGCAGCGCTGCCGCACGGACGCGTGCGAGAGCTCCGCGTCGAGGCGCAGGCGCCGGCTGTGCGGCTCCGTCCAGACGAGGCGCGCGTCCGCGAGCACGAGCTCGCGGCCCCGGAGGCCGTTCGACAGGCCCGCGACGAGCTGCGCGGCCTTCTTGCCGATGAGCGCGCTCTTGATCCGCCGCAGCAGGAACGCGAGGAGCGCGTCCGACTCGCGGTCGCAGGCCTCCCAGCGCTCGACCTTGGCCGCCGGGTCCGACGTGAGCACGCGCGCGCACTCGTTGCACCGCCGCACGGCGAGGAGCTTCGGGTGCTTGGCGACGTGCGCCTCGAGCGGCCGCCGCCAGTCGTAGGTCGCGCGCACGCACTCGAGGCAGAGGAAGCCGTCGTCGCGCGCGACGGTGGGCACGCCGCACTCCGGGCAGGCGATCGCCGGCAGCTGCGACGCGTCGGGCACGTCGAGCTCCGCCTCGAGGAAGAGCATGTTTGGCGCTTGCGACGGCGCGTGAAAGGCGACGCGGGCTCCGGTGTCTGTTGCGGCAGCTGCTTGCGACGGCGCGGGCGGGCGTACGGCGCTGGAACTCGACGACGACTCAGGCGGAACACGCCCAGATGCCGCCGAGAGCCGCGAGGTCTCGAGACGAGTCGAGTCAACAAAGCGATGATGAAGCTCTCGCCACAGCATCGGAGAGCATGGCCGCCATGAAAAAGCTCAACAAGGTCTGCTTCCTCGTGGCCATGGAGCAGGAGAGCGCCCCGTTCATCGCCGCGCTCGGCCTGAAGAAGCGCAGCACCAGCGGCCCGGCGCCCGTCATCGTGCACGAGGGCACGTACAAGGGCGCGGCCGTCGTGGTCTACAACCCGGGCATGAGCGACGGCAAGAGCCTCGTGGGCACGGACTTCGCGACGCTGGCGACGTTCCTCGCCGCGGAGCGCGACGCGCCGGACCTCTTCGTCAACGCGGGCACGTGCGGCGGCTTCGCGAAGCGCGGCGGCGCCGTCGGCGACGTCTACTGCGTGTCGTCGTTCCAGCACCACGACCGGCGCGTGCCCATCCCCGGCTACGACGCCATGTGCGTCGGCAAGCGCGCCGCCGTCGCGGCGCCGCGGCTCGTGGAGGCGCTCGGCGCGAAGACGGGCCCGTGCACGACGGGCAACTCGCTCGACTGCTCGCCGACGGACGCGGAGATCATCGACGCGTCCGGCGCCGTCTGCAAGGACATGGAGGCCGCGGCCATCGCCTGGGCCGCGGAGCTCACGGGCACGCCGCTCCTCGGCATCAAGGTCGTCACGGACATCGTCGACGGCGAGCATCCGACGCAAGACGAGTTCCTCGCGAACCTCGCGAAGGCGTCGGACTCGCTCCAGGGCGTCTTGCCCAAGGTCCTCGACTTCGTCGTCGACAAGACCCTCGCGGAGCTCTAGTAACACGGCGGCCGGTAGAGTTACGCGCCCTCGTCGTCGCGGTCGTCGTGCTCCGCGGTCGGGTGCTCGTCGAAGCGCTTCGTGCCCACGTCGACGGCCTCGAGGAGCTTCTTCTCCGCGGCCGCCAAGGACGCGAACCTCGGCAGGTCCACGGTGCAGATGCAGGCGTGGGCCGTCGGCAGCGACCCCTCGCTCAGGTGCGCGCCGGACGAGAGCGTGAACGGGTGCTTGCCGCCGTTGAGGCCCACGAGGTGCGCGAAGCCGCCGACGGGCACGCGCCGCGACCCCGTCGCGAACTGGAGCAGCCCGTGGAGCCGCCGCTTGTCCGGCGGCGCGCCCCCGGCCCACTTGTCGACGACGGCCCAGAACCAGCGGACCTCGCGCGCGTCCGCGCGCAGGCCGCCGGCGAGCCGCGTGTGCCTCCGCCAGTCGCCCACCTGTGCGGGTCTCAGGTGTAAACTCGCGGGGTCACGCTCACGGGACGAGGGCGGCCCGCGTCAACGGCACCCGCGGGTGGCTCTCGGACTCTCCGGGTTTAAGTCCCGCGAGCTCGACGCGGCGGTACGGAAAACAACCGCCGCGGATCTCGCAAAGTCCTCTCTTCGAACGCAAATAGGACGCGGGGCGACGCGCGTCGACGTCGCGGAGGCCGCTCAGCAACCGGCCGAAGTCGTCGGCGCTCAGCATCTTCCGCGCGTCGACCAATACGTCGCGCGGCACGGCTTTTCGGAGCCCCCGCGCGACGGCCTCGAGCGGCAGCCGCAGGCTCTTCCGGAGGCGCCAGTCGCGCATGGCGCGCACGAAGTCGTGGCGGTTCGACGCGTCGACGTCGCGGGCCGCGCCGCCGGCGCAGAGCTCGACGGAGGAGCCCGGCGCGAGCGGCGCGTCGCCGTCCGTCAAAACGTCGCGGTCCAACGAGACGACGCGCGGCGCGCCGCGCGGCGGCGGCGCCTCGGGCGCGTCCGTCGCCTCGGACGCGTCGTCGAGGCCGGGCAGGTCCGGGTCGTCGACGACGAGGGCGTCCGTGAAGTCCAGGCACAGCCCGGAGACGTCGTTCGCCTCGTCCGAGATCCACCGCAGCGACCGCTCGAGGTCCGGGTCGAGCGCCTCCAACAGCTCCGAATCGTCGCGGTCCGGCAGTTCGCCGTCGTTCAAGAGCGCCTCGCAAACGTAGGCGTGGAGCGGCAGGTCCAGCGTGACCTGCTGCCAGATGGCGAGGCCGAACAAACGGCCGAGCGCCTCGAAGTCGGACCGCCAGTGGCCGTTCGCGAAGAGCGCCGCGGCGTTGGGCACGAAGGACCGGCCGTGGTCGTGGGTCTTGAGCAGTCGGCCGCCGCCGGCGACGAAGGCCCGGTGCGCGCAGACGTCCATCCACTCGCGGAGCACCGCGGACCCGACGGCTGACTCGCCCTTGAACCGGACCTCGAAGTCCCCGACGATGTCCGGCGCGCCGAGGCCCGTCTCCTCGGCGAACTGGCGCCGCAGCTGCGGGAGCTGCGGCGCGTGGCGGTCGCACTCGACGAAGGCCAGGGGCGCCTCGTCGTCGTCGAGGTCCCGCGCCGCGCGGTGGTGCCGCTGCAACCGCCGCGCGAGCCAGACGCGCTTCTCCGCGGGGACCATGCGCGCCGTCAGCGCCCGCAGCTCGGCGTCGAGCGCGGGCGACGGCACGGCCGACGCCACGGCCTCGGCGAGGGCCCAGGCCTGGGACGTGTCGCGCGGCACGCCGCGGAGCGGCCACACGGGCGCGCCGGCGAGCGACGCGCCCGCCTCCGCGCCGCCGGCGTCGCCCCGCGCGTTGCGGATCGTCGTGACGTCGACGGAGACGACGGCGCGCCGCTCGGCCTCGCGCTTGACCCGCTCGCCGTCGCCGCCGCAGACCATGAAGCCCGCGATCTTCGGGGGCTTCGCCCCGAAGACGCCCATGCGGAACGCGGGCCGCGACGCGCCGTCGTCGAAGAGGTCGTTGACGACGACGACGACGGCCGCGCCGGCGTCGGCGGCGAGCTGCACCGCCGTCGCCCAGTCCGGCGCCGCCGGCGACTTGCGGATCAGGGACCGGTCGAGGAGGAGCGCGGACGCCGGCCGCACGAGCGCCCGCCACCGGTCGCTGCCCAGCAGCTTGCCGTCGCAGGGGATGAGGGCCGCCGACGACGTCGCGTCGGCGAAGCGCTCGTTCCAGGCCGCGGGCACGGCGGGCACCTTGAGCGTCGTGCCGTCGTCGAAGCCCAGGACGAGCTCGCCCGCGATGGGAAGCTCCGCCGCCGCGGCGTCAAAGTTCGACAGGAGCACCATGTCGTCGGCCTCGCCCGCGGAGCCGCCGACGCCCAGCGTGCCCCGGAGCTCGTGGAAGTACTCGGCCCAGGACGGCGTCGGCGCGGACGACTCGTCGTGGTCCGCCGCCGCCGGCGCGCCGCCGTCGTCCATGTCGGCGTCGTCGTCGGCGGCGGCGGCCGCCGCCGCCGCGCCGCCGTCCTCCGTCGGGGGCGCCGCGGCGTCGGACCCGCCGCCGCGCGCCGCGGGCGCGGGCGCGTCCTCGTCCATGGGCGCGGCGGCGCCGTCGCCGCCGCCGTCGTCGCCGCCGCCGCCGTCGCCGCGCTCGCCGGCGGCCGCGGCGTCCTCGCCGGCGAGGGCGGCCGCCAGGGACAGCATGGCGAGGCGCGCGGGCGTCTCCTTGCGCGCGAGGCACTCGAGGAACTGCACGGCGTTCGCGTCCTTGCACGCGAACGCGCTGAGCTTCTCGAGGAGCGGCACGCCGCACCAGAGGCCCGTCGACACGCGGCTCGACCCGTCGCAGGCCGCCAGCCTCGTCAGCGCCGCGCAGGCGTGGGCCGCGAAGAGGTCGTCGCCGTCGACGAAGAGCAACAGGTAGCCGAGGCTCGCCGCGACCTGTGTGCAAATCAAATATTCAACTCGACTTCAATGTGAGCGTAATCGAACGGTTCGGACCAGACTCTTCAGCTGTGCTTCGAGAACTCGACGAGAGCAATCGATTCGTCCAGAAATCAGCCGAATCGACTTCGATTTGACCGAGCTAGAGAATTCTCAAGTTTGGCCCCGACGTCCCAGCTCACTGGTTGATTTGCACACAGGCCGCGACCCACTCGCCGAGGCGCCGCGGGGGCAGGCCCGTGCGCTCGCCGCGGCTCCGGGCGATGGCGTCCTCGTCGAAGCGGCGCTGGAGCTTGCGCGCGAGCTTGGCGTCGCCCGCGACGTCGCCGAGGTCCCTGGCCAGGGCCGCGGCCGCGGCGGACCGCGTCGCCGCGCCGGGCGGCCGCGCGTCGTCGGCCGCGTCGCCGCCGTGGGGCGCCTTGCGGGGCCGCGGCGCCTCGTCCGTGGCCTTGCGCTTCGTCGACTCGCGGTCCGCCCGGTCGGCGACGCGCACGGCCGCGTCCCAGCGCCACTCGGGCCGCACGAAGAGGTCGACGCGGATGTCCGACGCCATGAGCCGCGGCGCGAGGCACCGCACGAGGCCCGGCAGGCCCAGGGGCGGCGCGCGCTCGTCGCGCACGGCGACGCAGACGTGGACGAGCAGCAGCTCCGCGTCGTGGTGCGCCGCGCACTCGTCGCGGATCCACGGGGGCACGCCGCGCTCGAAGACGCGCTCGAGCCACGTCGCCGCGGAGAGCCGCGGGCTCAGCGCGCCGCAGCCGCAGACGATGCGCTGGCTCTCCCGCTGCGCCGACGCCTCCGGCGTGTCGTCGTCGTCGTCGCTGTCGTCGCTCGCGTCGTCGTCGGCCGGCGGCGCCGGCGGCGCCGCGGGCGCGGACGACACGGCCTGGCCCACGGTCGCGGCGACGGCCTCGAGGGCCGCGCCGAAATCCAGGGCGCTCGCCGCGGGCGCCGGCGCCGGCGGCGGCGGCGGCGGCCGCGACGGGCTCGCCGCGACGGCGACGGCCGCGGCGGGCTCCGGCGTCGCGTCGAGGAGCCACTGGAGCGCGCAGCCGAGCAGATGCCGCGCGGCGCGGCGCCGCACGCCGTCGTCGGCGTCGCCCGCCGCGGCGACGACGGCGAGCGCGTTCGCGGCGAACTTGGACACGCCGTGCGACCGGGCCCGCGGTTCCATGCGCCAGCCGCAGCGGCACGCGTGGCGCAGCGCGTCGACGACGCGCGGCGCCGACGGCAGGCGGCTCGCCGCGCCCGGGCAGTTCGACAGCAGCTGGCCGCAGGCGAAGGTCGCGCGGTCGTAGGCCTCGCGGAGCGGCGCGCACGTCTCCAGAACCACGAGGTCGACCTCGAGCGTCTTCGCGAGGTAGGCCATGAGCCCGTCGAGCTGCGTCGCGCGCGCCGCGACGACCTCCGCCGTGATGCGGTCCGGGTCCTGCAACAAATCGAAGAGGCCCTCGACGTCCAGCGCGGGCGACGCGACCATCGTCCGGTACATCGCCGCCCTCGCCGCGCCGTGCGGCGACGTGTCCGTGCGCGCCGCGCAGCGCGCGAGCTCCTCCGCGAGGCGCGCGTGGCCCGGCTCGGCGGCGAGGCCCGCCTCGAAGGAGCGCCGCGCGTCCGCGCGCCGGTTCAGGGCCCACTCCGCGCCGCCGCGCCGGAGGTAGCCCTTGGCGTAACCCGGCGCGAGCCGCGTGCACCGCTCCGCGTCGTCGAAGGCGTCCTCGTAGCGCTCCAGCTGGAGGAAGCAGGCGCTCCGGTTGCTGTAGGCGACGTGGTCCGCCGGCGACGCGAGCACGCAGGCGCTGTAGGACGCCAGGGCCGCGGCGTAGTCGCCGGCGCCGTAGTGGGCGTTCCCGGCGGCGCGGTGGGCCTCGCCGGCGGCGACGTCCTCCTCGCCCCCGGGCCGAGCGCCGGGGTAGAGGCTCGGACTGAGCACCGTCCTCGGGGAGCGCATCGCGGCCGTGGCCAGGCTCCCGGAGGCGCAGTACGAGCGAGCGTCCGCAGGCACAGCGACGGCGGCAGCAGGGCGTTGACGCCCTGGAGCGCGGCGGCGGCGGAGGCCTTGGGCCCGCGCCAGGACGCGGCCGTCGGCCGGCTGAGCGAGCAAAGCTCAGATGCAAAGTCTTTAACTAAAAGCACCTTGAAGATTCCTGAAATGTTGCTGTTCAACAAATCCCTTGCGCACCGTTTTTTATAGCTGCCCTGCCCTCAGGAGAGCTCTGTGCGCTTCATTTCCGCCAGCGTTTGTGGAATTGCGCGGGCGCGCGGCGGCGATCGTCTGCCGCCGCGTCGGCCGGGCTTTGTCCACCACGCTCTTCTGCCAGCGCCAGGAGGAGGAGGGGAACGGGGCCGCGTTCACCTCCCCCTACTGCATCTGCCAATCCGAGGAGGAGCAGCGGGCGTTCCGTCGCGACGCGCCCGTGAGCCCCGGCGCCAACGGCATCGACGACCTCGTGCGGAACTTCGACGAGAAGCGGCAGATGTCCTTCTTCAACAGCGTCTGCGGCAGCCCGCCCGCGGGCGCCGCGAGCGCGGACGACGGCGGTTTGTGCGGCACGTTCCAGAGCGTGGGCTTCGGCCCGTCCCCGGGGCGCACGGAGGAGCACGGCGACGAGGCCTTCGAGATCGACGGCAACGACCCGGGCAAGCCCTGGTGCGGCTACGTGACGGCCCAGGAGCAGCACGACGCGGCGGCGCCGGCGACGCCCGTGCGGACGATCCCGCTGCCCGCGGACCGGTCCGAGGAGCCCGCGGACAAGCCCGAGGGCCTCGAGTCGCCGCCCGTGGTCGCGCCGGACGACGCGCCCGCCCCGGCGGCGGGCCGCGTGCGCTTCTCCGAGGCCGTCGCGGAGGCGTCCGCGGGGCAGCAGTTCTTCAGCTCCGACACGCTGGCGACGGAGGCGCCCGACGACGACGAGTTCGTCGTCGAGGACGAGGAGGAGCGGCGGTCGTCCTTCTCCGTGTTCTGCCCCGTGCTGCGGTTGCCGCTGTCGCCGAGGAGCCTGCGGAAGAAGAAGGCCAAGGAGCCGGAGCCGCGGCGGCTGACGCTCGACGACTTCGAGGTGCTCAAGAACATCGGCGAGGGCGCGTTCTCCCAGGTGCTGCTCGTGCGCAAGGTCGAGGAGCCCGACGCGGGCCGCGTCTTCGCCATGAAGACGATCTCGAAGCTCGCGGACAACAAGTCCTACTTCGAGCGGTGCATCCGCGCGGAGCGCGTCGCGCTCGGCATGATGGAGTCGCCCTTCGTCGTGACGCTGCGCTACGCGTTCCAGACGCCCGCGGGGCTCTACTCGCTGACGGACTACTGGGAGGGCGGGTCCCTCGAGAGCCACCTGCCCGAGGGCGGCATGGACGAGGACCGCGCGCGGTTCCACGCCGCGGAGCTTCTCTTAGCGCTCAAGCACGTGCACGACCACAAGATCGTGCACCGCGACCTCAAGCTCACGAACATCCTCCTCGACGGCGCGGGCCACGTCGCTTTGACGGACTTTGGCCTCTGCGCGCCGAACGTGCCCCTCGAGGCCCAGCCGCTCCACTCGTTCTGCGGGTCCGTCGAGTACATGGCGCCGGAGATCCTCAAGGGCCACCGCTACGGCCACGCGGTCGACTGGTGGGCCTTTGGGGTCCTGCTCTACGAACTCGTCCACGGCGTGACGCCCTTCACGGGCCACAAGGCGCGCGTCATCATGGAGTCCATATTGAAGGGGCCGCCGGAAATCGCCCCCGGGGACTCCGAGGAGTTCGCGCACTCGCTGTCCCAGCTCCTGGAGAAAAAGCCGGAGGAGCGCGCGGGCTTCGGGACCAAGGGCGGCAAGGACGTCATGAACCTGCCCTTCTTCTACAAGGTCGACTGGGCCGCCATGCGCGCCATGGCCGCGCCCGTGCCCTACGTGCCGCAGCACGCGGAGAAGCCGCGGCCGTCGCTCGCGGCCATGCCCCAGGACTCCTTCTCCGCCCTCGCCCACGAGTTCGCCGAGAACAAGAACTCGGCGCCCGCGGACCGCAAGCGCCTCAAGCGCTTCTCCTTCGCGGGCAAGCCCATCCCCGCGTCCCCGTGAGCCGTAATCGGGGGGCGTTCAACTTGAAGACGCGTTTAAAAAACCTTCTTTCGGGGCTGCCGACGATGATCTTCTGATCATGAGCTTCGTCGCCCGGCGGCTGGCCGCCGGCGCGGGCCTCGCGCTCTGCCACTCGCTGCGGAGCCGCTGCGACGAGCAGCTTGTCCACGTGCCGTCGTCGATGAATTTAAAGCTCGCCGGCGTCATCGCGGAGGACGCCCTGGCGGAGGCGCACCACGTAGACCTGCACCCGCTGGCAGTAGTTGTTTTGGACGCCGGCGGGCACGACGTCTTGGCGCTCAGGGAGGACGGGTGCGGGGTCATGCGCGTCGGCATCGCGCGGGGCAAAGCCTACGCGTGCCTGGCCATGGGCATGCCTTCGCGCCAGATCCGCGACCGCCTGAAGGACCGGCCGACGTTCGTCGGCGCGCTGTGCGACGTCTCCGGCGGGCGCTTCGTGCCCGTGCCCGGCGGCGTGCTCGTCGTCGACGAGGAGAGCGGCGTCGCCATCGGCGCGGTCGGCGTCTCCGGCGACACGTCCGACAAGGACGAGATGGTCGCCATCGTCGCCATCAACAAGCAGGACGGCGTCGCGGCGAACCCCGCCGCGCCGTCCGCGACCTGGGCGCGGTCATCGCTCGGGCCGCACTAACCTTCGCTTCGAGCTTACTTCGCGGCCGCCTAGAGACCGCCGCTCCCGAAGCCCGCGAGGACGAAGAAGTTGAACGCGATGAGCCCGAAGCCGATCGCGGTGAGCGTGACCGGGTTCTGGAAGTCGGGCATGCCGATGCCTTCGGTGTCGTACTCCTGTTTCGGCGGGACGTAGTTGCCGTCCTCGTCGTAGTCGTCGCCGCCGGCGTAGAGCGCCCATCGCGATGAAGTGCTCGCGACGCGGAGCGGCGCCGAGGCCGGCGCGGCGCGGAGCGCTCGGAGAGACGCCGCCGGAGGCTGCAGGGCGGAAGCCGCCGCGAGGAGGCAGGAGAGCATGCACGAGAGCTTCGCCATGGTTTCGCGTTGCGGTTGGGCGTTGCGCGGGTTCGATGCGGCGGTGTCGACGTTCGACGAGGCGTGGAATTTGTTGTGGCTGTTTTTGACGGTCGATGAGGCGTGAGCGCGCGTCGATGGCGGCGCTGAGCACGGTGCTCTGGGCGCTCGATCGAGGCCTTTTACCACGGCGTTCAAGAATCGCTCTCCACAAAAAACCGAGCGCCATGCGCCAGCGCAGCTGATGCGCAGCTAAAACATGGCTCGTTCTATTGTCATGGCAGTCTCACTCATCACCGCTGCTCGCGCCTTCACCGGCGCCCTCGCGAAGCGCCCGACCCGCTTGCGCAAAGGCACGGCCCGCTTCGCGTCGCATCCAGTGTCCATGCGCATGCGGACGTGGCCGCTTTTGAAAGGCTGACATGGCGCCTGGAACGCGCCATCCCCGCCTAGGTCCAACCCCCTCCTGCAACAGGAGGGTCTCCCCAAGTTCGGCGAGATCGAGGAGAAGCACATCGAGCCGGGCATGACGGCGCTGCTCGAGGACCTCGGCGGCCAGCTCGAGTCGCTCGAGGCGTCGCTCGGCCGCGACTCGACGTACGAGGAGGCCGTCGAGGGGCTCGAGCGCGTGAGCTTCCCGCTGGGCTACGCCTGGGGCGTCGTCGGCCACCTCAACGGCGTCAAGAACAGCGACGCGCTCCGCGAGGCCCACGCGGCCATGCAGCCGAAGATCGTGGAGATGACGCAGCGCCTCGGCCAGTCGCGCGCGGTCTACGAGGCCCTCGACGGCCTCGGCGAGCGGTCCGACGACCTTTCGCCGACGCAGAAGCGCGTCGTCGACGCGTCCCTGCGGTCCATGCGGCTCGGCGGCGTCGCGCTCGAGGGCGAGGCGAAGGACGCGTACAACAAGAACTCGCTCCGCCTCTCGGAGCTGTCGACGACGTTTTCGAATAACGTGCTCGACGCCACCAAGGCCTTCGAGCTCCTCGTGGAAGCGAAGGAGGACATCGCGGGGCTGCCCGCGTCCGCGCTCGCGGCCGCGGCGCAAAAGGCCGAGGCCGCGGGCAAGTGCGAGTCCGCCGACGCCGAGAACGGGCCCTGGCTCCTCGGGTTGGACATCCCGTCGTACCTGCCGGCCATGCAGCACCTCGAGAGCTCCCCGATCCGCGAGCGGCTCTACAAGGCCTTCGTGACGCGCGCGGGCGAGGCGAACGCGCCGCTCATCGACGAGATCTTGACGTTGAAGCAGGCCCAGGCCAAGCTCTTGGGGTTCGACTCCTACGCCGAGGTGTCCCTGTCGTCGAAGATGGCCGACTCCATCGAGGACGTCGAGAAGCTCCACGACATGCTCGCGGCGAAGGCGACGCCCGCGGCCAAGGCCGAGCTCGCGGAGCTCCAGGCGTACGCCAACGCCAACGGCCACGAGGGCGCCCTGAAGCACTGGGACATCCCGCGCTGGAGCGAGAAGCTCCGCGAGGAGCGCTACGACTACTCCGAGGAGGAGCTCCGGCCCTACTTTGCGCTGCCCGCCGTGCTCGACGGCTTGTTCGGCGTCATCGAGCGCTTGTTCGGCGTCACGGTGACGGCGGCCGACGGCGCGGCGGAGGTCTGGAACGAGGACGTGCGCTACTTCGAGATCCGCGACGGCGGCGAGCTCGTCGCGTCGTTCTACCTCGACCCCTACAGCCGGCCGGAGAACAAGCGCGGCGGCGCGTGGATGGACGTCTGCGTGGGCAAGAGCCGCGCGCTGGACAAGAAGGTGCCGACGGCCTACCTGACGTGCAACGGGTCGCCGCCCGTCGGCGGCGCGCCGTCGCTGATGACGTTCAACGAGGTCGAGACGCTCTACCACGAGATGGGCCACGGCCTCCAGCACATGCTCACCAGGGTCGAGGACGGCGACGCCCAGCGTCGAGCGACGGGAGTGTTTTTTTGCGTGACTTTCGCCTGAGGACGTGAAGAAATCCGACCCCGTTGCACTTGGTAGGCGACGCCGCGGGCATCAACGGCGTCGAGTGGGACGCCGTGGAGCTGCCGTCGCAGTGGATGGAAAATTGGCTCCTCGACAAGCCGACGCTCTACTCCTTCGCGAAGCACTACGAGACGGGCGCGCCGCTCCCCGACGAGTTCTACGACAAGCTCAAGGGCGCCAAGACGTTCCAGGCGGGCCTGGGCATGAGCCGCCAGATCGCCTTCGGCCAGCTCGACGTCGAGCTCCACGCGCGCTACGACCCGGCGGGATCCGAGACGCCGTTCGACGCGCAGAAGCGCGTCTTCTCCCAGTACACGGCGCTCCCGCCCCTGCCCGAGGACCGCTTCCTCTGCGCCTTCGGCCACATCTTCGCCGGCGGCTACTCCTGCGGCTACTACTCCTACAAGTGGGCCGAGGTGCTCTCGGCCGACGCCTTCGCGGCCTTCGAGGAGGTCGGCCTCGACAACGAGGCCGAGGTCAAGGCCCTGGGCGGCAAGTTCCGCGACACGGTCCTCGCCCTCGGCGGCGGCACGCCGCCGGCGGAGGTCTTCCGCGCCTTCCGCGGCCGCGACCCGTCGCCCGACGCGCTCCTCCGCCACAGCGGCCTCGCCGAGTGAGCCGCGCGCTTCGCGATGGCATGTGTGCACAGAGCAGATCCTACTAAAGGCGGCCCCCGTCCCATTGGTAATTTGTGCGGTGTTGAGGCACCTGGGGACGCCTCTCGGGCTGGGCGGCTGCCAGTCGACGCTCAAGCCGGTCCAGCTCGCTGCAGCTCGCCTAAAATCCACAGTTTCTCGCCTGCGCGTGCCGCCGTGTTGCACAGGGGAGTTGAATCCTCCAGGTCATTTCTAGTCGCATCTTAGGCCCACACAGCAACAATCATGGCTTATGTCGACGGCGAATTATACGTGAAGGTCTGGGTGGTTATCATGGGCGTGTATGCACTGCAAATGCTGCTTGTGCCGGCGAAGATGACGACGGACCGTCGCGCGCCCGCGTCGTGCCAGAACCGTCGCGTATCCGAAGTCCGTCCCGCCTCGGAAACCGTCGCGTATCCGAAAACCGTCCCGCCCCGGAACGAAACCCGTCGCGCGCCGTAAACCGTCGCGTATCCAAAAACCGCTCGCTCCGCGTCGCGCCGGAAACCGTTCGCGTATCCATAAACCATCACGCGCCAAAAACCATCGACGTCTCCAAAGATCGCTCCCCCCGCGCGCGCAGACTGGAATCTCAAGTCGAACAAGCACATGGAGTTCTGGATCCGCGGCGCGTCCGTCGGCTTCGGCGGGATGGCCTACCTCATGACGCTCATCGACACGGAGAAGGCCGTGCAGGTCGGCACGGCCGCGTCGTTCGCCATCGGCGTGCTCTACCCGCGCAGCGCCGGCGTCCGTTTCCCCCGCGGCGGCGCGCGGCGGGACGCCCGACGATTAGGTGGAACGCCAAGTACGGCTACCTGACCCCGGGACTCAAGCTCAAGTACCCGATGCACTACGTGCCCGAGTTCCTCATGCTCGGCCTCACGCTCGGCGGCGTCGCCGCCATGGAGCTGTGAGAAGCTCCCGACGCGAGAGAGGCGCGGAACAAGCCGCGCTCGAGAAGAGAGACGACCCCCGGCCGCGTCCGCGGGGACAAGCCCGCGGCGCCCCCTAATCATCCCGGAGTCCTTAGTCGGGGTGCACGCACGTCGCGTTCACGGCGAGGGCCCGCCGCTCCTTCCGCGACAGGTCGAAGCGGAAGCCGTGCATCGCGTTGCCCGCCGCGCAGGGCCCCGGCCCGGCCTTCACGTTCCAGCAGCGGACGACGTTGGAGCAGCCCGGCGCGCCCTCGAGCTTGAGGTTCGACACGGAGACGTCGCACGGCGCGGCGTCGGAGCAGTGGAGCATGGCCGCGACGCCCGACGTGTGCCAACCTAAAGCGGGGTCGATGCAATGCGTCGCCGGTCCGGGGCGTCGGGCGGCCGCGCCCTCGTCTCTCGAAACAGTCGCGGGACGCCGGCCGCGGACCCGTGACGCCGTCGATGGTCACGCGCTCGACGGCGACGGCCTTGGACTCGTTGGCGCAGGGCCCCGGGTGCTGGGACTCCGGGCAGTAGAACTGGTCGACGACGACGGGCGCGCCGACGGCGCGGACGTCGAGATCGCGGAACGTCACATTCGCGACGGCGCCGGAGCCGCCCTGCCACGTCTTGACGCGCGCGGCGTTCGAGGTCTTCACGAAGCGGACGCCGCTGAGGACCACGTCGCGCACGGACGCCGTCGTGCCGCCCTCGCCCAGGCTCCCGATGCTCAGCCCGTGGCCCTTGTAGAACGTGCCGCCGCGGACCTCGACGCCGACGCAGCCCTCCTTGATCGCGACGTTGTCGTCGCCCGTGTCGACCCAGCAGTCGTCGACGGTCACGTCGCGCGCGGCCAGCAGGTCGATGCCGTCCGTGTTCACGGACCCCGGCGGCGACGCGACGCGGAGCCGCCGGAGCGCGACGGACGACGACCGCAGCACGACGACGTGGTAGAACGGCGACTCGGCGAGGCGCAGGTGCGTCACCGCGACGTCCCGCGAGTCGGCGACCAGCAGGAGCACGGGCGCGCGCACGGACGGCCGCCGCTTGCGCACGCGCCACCAGGCGCGGCCCGAGCCCTCGACGGCGCCGCTGCCCGTGACGGTCACGCGCTTCGCGCGCCGGAGCTCGAGGAACGCGTACCGCATGCGGCGCAGCTCCGGGCTCTGGGTCTCGTCCTCGGGCTCCGCGCGCGCCGGCCAGCGGTCCATCGGCGGCGCGCGGATCGTGCCGTCGATGCGCAGCTCCAGGTCCTCGACGTCCGCGAGGACGACGGCCGACATCTTGTACGTGCGGCCCGCGGGCAGGTGCACGACGACGCGGGGGGCGGTCGCGCCCGCGGCCGCGGCGACGGCCCGCCGCAGCGCGGGCGCGTCGTCGCCGCGGCCGTCGCCGGCGGCGCCGTGGTCGAGGATCGAGACGACCGCGGCGTCGCCGCGCCGCGCGGCGGCCGACAGGTCGCGCGCCGCGGCGCTCGCCTCCTCGAGGCGCGACGCGTCGAAGCGCTGCGCCGCGCGCTCGTAGGCGCGCACGGCCGCCTCCGTGCGCCGCTGCCGCTCCTGCATGAAGCCGCGCTCGCGCCGGCTCAGCGGGAAGCGGCCGGCCAAGCTCGCGCGGTGCGTGCGCGTCGCGACGACCGTCAACGCGACGACGGCCATAAAGCACCAGGCGTCTTTGCGCGACGGCATGTTTTTGCGGTTTGCTTCACGCGCAGCGCTTTCTTTTGGCGGTTTGGCGGCGCGCAGCGCTTCTGTGACACACGATGCAATGGGTCGCTTGCTTTCGCGGCGCGCAGAGCCTCTCTATGGTGTTTGAGCCTGAGAGAGCATAAGCAAAGCCTGTGGTAAATTTGGGGTTCAGCGAGCATTCCTGTGGCAAAGCTGCTGTTTTCCAAGCCCAATCATCACTCGCCTGTCGTCGTGGACGACGCGCCACCAAAAAGACGTCCCCAGCCATCGCGCGCGCGACCATGTCGAGCGACGACAATCCCTTCGAGGACGCGTCGATCTCCGGCGCGGCGTCGGCCGCGCCGCCGCCGCCCAACGACTCGCAGCCGAGCTGGATGAACGCCGCCGCGTCGCCGGTGCACACGGACGCCGTGCCGCCGGCGGCGGGCAACCCGCAGTGGCTCAGCGACCCGAAGCCGCCCGCCGGCGCGCCGCTGGCCGACCAGGCGGGGGGCTACCCGGACGTGCCCGGCGGGCCGCCGCCCATGGACATCTCGCTGATGCAGCTGCCGAGGCCCGTGCTCGCGATGCGCCTTTCCAACGTCGTCGCGGCCTTCTTCCTCGCGCTCGTGGCGACGATCAAGCTCATGGAGATGACCGCAGGCATCTCGACGGGCGTCATCTGCATCTACCTCTTCCTCTTCGGCCTCCTGCTCTTCACCTTCGAGCTCCACTGCTCGTGCACGGCGAAGATGATCGCGTCGAACCTCGGCTTCATGTACCGGGCGACGGGCCGCATGTGCTTCATGGTCCTCGTCGGCATGCTCTGCTTCAGCGGGCTCCACGCCCTCGGCGTCTTCACGGGCGTCTTCCTCATCGTCGCCGCGTTCTACAACGGCTTCATCCTCTTCAAGTACCCCATGTACGAGAAGTCCTGCCGCATCGTCGACCTCGGCGAGTGACGGCCCGGGGGTTTTCTGTTTTACTAGTCGCCGAGGGGCGCGGGCGCGTCGTCGTCGGGCCGCGCGAAGCGCCGCCGGTTCTCCAGCAGGAGCGCGCGGTTGTAGCGGATCTTCGCGACGGCGTGGGCCGCCTCCTGGGCCGCGTCGAACTCGAGGTCGCGGACGATCTGCTTGCCGCGCTCCGTGAAGGTCATGCGCACGGTGCGCCGGTCGTCGTACTGGTCCAGGATCTTCAGCGAGAGCACGTCCTCGATGCGCCGGCTCGGCCGGTACGTCAGCGTGATGAGCTTCATGTTCTTGCGGTCGCGCTTCGTGTTGTAGATCTTGGAGCCGTCGACGCCCAAGACCCGCTCCTGGCGCCGGCCGAGCTCGTTGGTCTTGACGACGTTCCACTCCTTGAACGCGACGCCGGACGCGGGCGTGAACTGGAAGTCGCGCGGGTCCGGCGGCCCCCGCCGCTCGCCGCCGCCGGCGTCGCGCCGCCGCTGCGCCTCCTCGCTCCGCGGGTGGGGGTCGACCTTGACGAGCGACGGCTCGGGCGCGGCCGGCGCGTCGAGGTACCAGCCGCCCGCGTAGAGCTCGCAGTAGAGCTGGAGCGTGAAGACGCCGCTCATGGCGAGGTCGCCGACGGTCAGGTGGTCGCAGACGAAGGGCTCGGGGAAGCAGAGCCGCGCCTGGTCCTCCTCGAGGTACTTGAAGCCGTAGGGGATGCCCCAGTTGTGCATCTGCCGCCGCCGGAGCACGCGCGGCAGGATCTCCGCGACGGTCCAGGACCCGTCCGTCTTCAGGTCGACGAAGTCGCCCTCGTCGTAGAGGACGCGGATGCTGCAGAGGCCCGTCTTGCTCGGCCGCGGGAACGCCGACGACCGCCGGCTCGCGCGCGAGCTCCGCGCCGACGACCGCCGCGCCGCGGGCTCCGGCGCGGGCTCGTCGTCGGGCACGACGGCGCCGCTCATCAGGCGCAGGCAGAGCTCGTCCTCGCCAAAGGCCAGGGCCGGCCCCTCGCGCTCGAGCGCCGGGCAGTCCTCGTCGGGGAGGCCGTCGCCGTCGTGCAGGAGGAGCTCGTAGCAGGCCGCGGCGCGCGCGCCGCCGCCCAGGCCCCGCTCCGGGGGCGCCGCGTCTAATGCGAGCTCGATGGCCTCGGCGACGGTCGTCCGCTCGCCGACGCGGATCCCCGCGGGCGTCGCGTCCGGCAGGTAGACCGTGAGCCCGGACGTCGGCCCGACGACGACGACGCCGGACCGCGCGGGCGCCGCGGCCACCGCCGGCGCGGCGGGGGCGCCGCCCGGGCGGTCGTCGGGCATGATCGCCGGCGCCGCCGCGCCCTCGACGAGGCAGAGCTCGTCCGTGCCGAACGCGACGCAGGGCCGGTCCCGCTCGAGCGCGGGGCAGTCGTCGTCGGGGAGGCCGTCGGCGTCGTGGAGCATGACCTCGTAGCAGGCCGCCGCCTCCGCGCCGTGGCCCAGCGCGTCGACGCCGCGCCCCAGCGCGCCGCCGCCGCCCAAGATTTCGCCGACCTTGTGGAGCAGCCGCTCGACGGCCTCGCCGACGGTGACCTCCTCGTCGAGCACGAGCGTCACGGGCGCCGCGTTCGGCAGGAAGAACGTGAGCGTCTCGCCGCTCGCGCAGTCGCCGACGCCCGCCGCGGCCGCCTCCTCCTCCTCGGGCTCGTCGGGCGCCGCGAGCGCGCGCGCGATGCCGGACGCTCGCCCCTCGTCCTCCTCGCCGTCGCCGCCGCCGTCGGCGCCGCTGCGCGCCCGGCGCGGCGGCGGCGGCGGCAGGTCGCGCTTCGAAAAGTCGAGGCCCCCGAGGCCGCCGCTGAGCTTCGCCTTGGCCGCCGACAGCACCGCCGCCGCCTCGGCGTCGGCGGCGCTCACCTCCTCCTCCTGCTCGTTCGGATACGGCGACTCGCACTCCTCGAGCAGGTCGAGCCAACTCTCCGTCGGCGACACGCAGACGAACTCGTCCGGCAGCGCGCACGCGATGAGCTCGTCGAAGTTCATGGGAGGCTGCCCATTGCTCTCGAACTTACTCGTTGAACCGTAAGTGAACCTATTCAAAAAAAGACGATGACGATGGGCAGCGTGTTCCGCGGGCTGGCGCTCGCGACGCTCCTGCGCCCCGCGCGGCCCGTCACGGTCGACGAGGCGATGTGCATCCTCGAAAACCGGCATCTCGTCTTCCTCGGCGACTCCGTGACGCGCTTCTGCTTCTTTGGCTTGAACACGTGGCTCGAGACCGGCGAGCTCGTCGAGTTCGACGACGACTGGGGCGCGGACACGGACTACGACGACGCCGAGGAGTGGACGGACTGGAAGCGCTACTCGGGCGCGTCCGCGAAGCACCAGACCCGCTTCTCCAAGGACCTGGGCCGCGGCGCGAGGACGAGCTTCTACTTCCTGCAGGCCGCGTGGTGCGACGACGACGACACGGGCGGCGAGACGTCCCTCGAGGACATCGCCGGCGACGTCGTGGACGAGGCCGACATCATCCTGTACCATCACGGCTGGTGGGAGCTCAAGGCCGAGGTCGGCGGCGCGCTCTGCGGCGAGACCTTCACCGACGACTGCGAGGACGACTTCCGGGACCGCGTCGAGGCGGCCGCGGACGAGATCCTGACGCGGGACGACGGCGTGGTGTCCATCCTGCGCACGAGCACCTGCTGCGGCCCGGACGACGACGACGTCGACTGGCGGTCCGCGATCGAGAAGCAGAACGCCGTCGCGCTCGACGTCGCGGCGGACCGGGGCGTGCCGGCGGTGGACGTGTACGGCGTCGACATCGCGACCTTCGACGGGAGCCACCCGGACGTGGCGACCTGCCACGAGATGAACGAGATGCTCCTGCGGCGCGTCGACGACGAGCTCGGCGCCGGCTGCGTCGGCGCCGGCGGCTACGGGCCCACGTACCGGCCGTCCTATCGGCCCACGCCGCAGCCGAGCTATCGGCCGACGCCGCAACCGACGAAGGCGCGGTACGCGCCGAGCTATCGGCCGACGCCGCGGCCGGTCGAGCGCCGCTACGACCCGACCTACGCGCCGACGTACAGCCCGACGCCGCGGCCCGGGGACTACTTCGCCCTCGAGTAAACTCGCTCTCCCGGACCCAGCATCCGCCAGCCTAGGCCGCCGACGCGTTCCGGAGCATGGCCCGGAACGGCGCGTCGCCCCGCGCGCGCGCGAGGATCGCGCTCGCGAGCGCCGCGGCGCTCGCCGAGGCGACGACGGACGCGACGGCGTCCGGGGGCGGCGGCGGCGGCGCGGCGGCGTCGTCCGCCGACGCCCCGTCCGGCGCCGCGTCGTCGGCCGTGAGGTTCGCGGCCCAGGACGTCCCGTCGCAGTCGTGCTCGAGGCGCGCGCGGATGCGCAGCGCGACGTCGGCGTGGCCCTTCTTCTCAAAGTAGGCGGCGATGGCCTCGCGGTGCCGCAGCGCCGACGCCGGGTTCGGGGGCGAGACCTTCTTCGTCGCGCGCTCGCGATCGAGGCGGCGGCCGCACCGCTCCGGCAGGCCGAGCGCGGCGCGCGCGCGCGCGGGCAGGTGCCCCGCGCAGGCCAGATCCTCGAAGCGGACCTCGACCACGTCCGTGTCCCAGCGCCTCGCGAGGCGCGCGGCGTCGGCCCGCGCGCGGCGGAAGTCCGACGCGAACGTCTGGTAGTTCGCGTAGAACTCCGCGGGCGGGACCTTGATCGTGAAGTTGATCAGCTCCCCGCAGACGGCCTTGTTCGGGTGGTTCGGGTCGCAGGCGTTGTGGTGGCCCGGGGTCACGGGGTGCCGCTTCTGCGCCCACTCCTTGTACTCCCTCTTCCGCTCGTCGCAGATGGCGACGAAGAGCGGGTGCCGCAGCTGCACGAAGACCGCGCCGACGCCCGGCGGCTTCCGCCGCGTCGCGAGCTCGTCGACGATGGCCCGCAGGAAGGGCGTCATGACCAGGATGCCCCGGCTGCCGCCGCCGGACGGCGCCAGGAGCTCCTGCGCGGCCGCGGCGGGCGACGCGCGGAACGCGCCGTCGCGCCAGCCGTCGTGGCGAAAGCCCTTGGAGCAGCGTTCGGCGTCCAGCAGGTCGCCGAACCAGGTCGACCCGCCGCAGGCGTTCTGCACGACGAGGCCGCGCGTCGGCGTCGCGGGGCAGCCGCCGCACGGGTAGGCCTCGTCGCGCGCGGTGAGGTTCAGCCTCTTGGCCCACTCGCGCGCCGCCGCGGCCCGGTCGTCGACGACGGCCGGCGCCTCGTCCACGGGAAACGCGCGCGTGACATTTTTCGCACGGTTCTCGCATCCTCCGCTCCGCTCGCCGTGCGCGCACTCGCGATCGCGCTTGTCCCGTCGCAGCTGCTCCTTCTTCGACAGCGGCTTGGCGTCGCCGAGGAACGCGAGCAGGAGGAGGACATGCCTCATGTGGTTACGAAGCTACTCCGGTGGGGAAGGTTGGGCATTCCATCGTATGAAATGAGGCTCGGCACTTTCTTCAATGATGAAGTCAATGATCCGGCTACGCCTCCGCGGCCGCGGCCGCCAGAGCCTATCCGGCGCGATCCCCGTCGATAATTCGTCCAATTATGCCCCCGCGGCCTCCTCGTCGTCGCCGAGGAGCGCGTTCACCGTGGGCAGCATCTCGAGGTTGTCCGACTCGGCCCGTCGGAGTCGGACGTCGCCGGGCGCCGCGAAGTGGCGCCGGGCGACGCGGACGAAGGCGAGCGCGTTCGCGAGCATAGCGACTGCACACAGTCCCAGGATCGTCGGCCGCGATATGCGCTCGCCCGCGGCCGCGTAGAGGACGCCGCCCATGACGTCGCCGACGGACGTCGTCAGCAGGAAGATCGCGGACACGGACGCGCGGAGCTCGCGCGGCGCCTGCGTGTAGGAGAACTCGAGGCCCGTGATCGACACCAGGATCTCCGCGACGGTGATCAGGAAGATCTGCGGTAGCTGCCAGAGGATGTTCAGCTCGTGGCCCCGCTGGAGCGCGAGGTCGACGCCGGCGGCGACGACGAACGACAGGGCCGCGACGACCATGCCCGCGACCATGCGGTGCGGCGGGCGGATGGGCACGCGCGCGGCCGCGAGCGCCGGGTAGAGCGAGCGCTCGAAGAGCGGCAACAAAACGAGGATCAGCACCGGGTTCACGACGCCGAGCTGCTCCGGCTGGATCCTGCCGCCGAAGGTGCCCATCTCGCTCGCCTGCACGACCCACACGCTCCCCTGCTGGTCGTAGAGCATCCAGAACACCGGCAGCATCGCCAGCACGGAGAAGCTGCTTCGCAGCGCCGCGACGTCCGGGTCGTCCGACGGCGCCGACGACAGCGCCCGCGTGAGCGCGAAGAGCACGGAGCCGTCGGCCTTGGGCGGCACGACGACGTAGTCCTTGCGCGCGGACGCGAAGACGGCGAGCGCGAGCGCGAGGAGCGCCGCGGGCACGGAGAACGCCGCGGCGTAGCCGAAGCTGCTCCGGACGACGGGCGTCACGACGAAGGAGAGCACGGACCCGACGTTGATCGACGCGTAGAACACGCTGAAATAGCCGCGCACGGCGTCGTCGTCGCCGCCGTCGGCCGTCGAGATCTGGTCCGCGCCGAAGGAGCTCACGCAGGGCTTGATGCCGCCCGTGCCCAGCCCGACGAGCGCGAGCGCGCCGAGCGCGCCGGCGGTCGACGTCGCCGCGGCGGCCGCGACGAGGACGACCATGCCGCAGCAGTACACGGCGCCGAGGGCCGCGATCGTCGCGAAGCGGCCCCAGCGCTCGTCGGCGAGCCACGCGCCGAGGAGCGGCGACGCGTAGGCCAGCGCGCTCGTGAACGCGAAGTAGCTCACGGCCGTCGACTCCGCCATGCCCAGACGCCGCACGAAGAAGAGCGTGAGGATGGCGCGGAAGCCGTAGTAGGCGAAGCGCTCCATGCCCTCCATGGCGATGATCTTCCACACCGTCGACGGCGCGCCGGGCAGCAGGCGCTCCAGCATCATCTTCTTCCGCTTCGGATCGTAGGAGCGCTCTGCAAGTGCCGGCGGGCGCTTCGCTAGGCGCGCGCGCATGCAAGTTTTGCCACAAGCATCACAAAAACTCCCTCTCTCAAACTTCACAAAGAGCGGCACCTTCGACCACCTTCCCTTTCCGAGCACGATGATCATCATCCACTGAGCGGCGCTCGGGCAGCCTTCGACGGACCGAGCTCCATGTCGACGAGCGACCACTGGAAGGTCATGTGGCACGTGCGCGACGAGGTCTACGGCCTCATGCCGGACCACGTCGAGTACCCGGAGTTTGGGGAGAAGGGCTTCCAGTTCAAGACCGTCATCGGCCTCGCGACCAAGGTCGTCAAGGAGGACTGCCAGAAGTACATCGAGCTCTGCTGGGGCGACATGACGCCGAAGCCGACGGCGAAGGACCTGCGGGACAAGGGCTGCAAGTTCACGGAGCTCACGGACGCGGAGTTCGACCTCCTGAACCGGCCCATGACGCTCGACGAGTTCCGGCTTTTGAAGCCCGAGACGGACGGCCGGCTGCGGACGCCGCACGTGGCCGTCGCCAAGGCCACGATCCGCAACACGCTCGACCCGGCGGCGCGCGCGCTCCTCGAGGTGGAGCCGGGCGCGTCGATCAACGTCGTGACGACGGCCGAGGACACCGGCGACAGGGCGCTCGTCGAGACAGACGTCTACGACCGGCGCACGGAGAAGGATCGCACGGTCGTCGGCTGGATGTTCGCGAGCGCGTTGGAGCTGCGGCGCGACGACGAGGCGCCGCCCGAGGACAGCCTCGCGGACATCCACGACGTCGTCATCGACGACCTGTCTGGCGAGGCCGCGCCGCCGGCCATCGAGGACATCGACGGCGACGACAGCGAGGACGACACGGCGAGGGAGTAACATGGCGCGCCTACGCGGCTCCCCCGGGTGGGCGCAGGGCAGTCGAGTCCTCAGGTGGCCTTGCCTCGTCGCCGGGCGGGCGCGGGCCGTCGGCCTCGCCGGAGCCGCCTCGATCGGACTGCTGCTGCTTCCTCCGGCGGTGCCGCCGCACAACGGCCGCGGCCGCGCGCAGCCCCGCGACGGCGTCGCGCTGCGCCGGCGAGAGGCAGGCCGGGTCCGGCGTCACGCAGGCGGCGGCGCGGCGGTCGAAGAGCGCGTCGACGCGGCGCTGGCGGCGCCGCGGCAGCGGCGCGGCGGCCGCCGCGGCGACGCCGGGGAGCTCGCGGCCGCCGTTTGGCGGCCACGGCGGCCGCGCCCAGAGCAGGAGCCGCCCGTCGCCGTCGGAGAGCGAGCCCCCGCCGTCGGAGCTCACGGTCGAGGCGCCCGACGACGACAGGAGCGAGTCCGTCGACGAGTCCGCGTGGCGCCGGTGGCGGAACGCCGCGGCGACGCCAGCGACAAAGGCCGCGAGCCGCTCGGGCCGGAGCGCGAGGAAGAGGTGGCAGAGGAGCTCGAAGCACCCGAAGCAGGCGTCGCCGCGCCGGTCGCGGCAGAGGAAGAGCATGCTCGAGAAGCCCTCGCCGCCCTCGAAGCCCCGCGCGGGGTCGAGGCCCAGCGACCGCGCGAGCGCCGCCGCCCGAGGCACGCTGTAGGGGCTCGCGAGGCGCGGCGCCTCCGCGAGCCGCCGCGCCGCGTCGAGGGCGTCGGAGTGCCGCGGCGCGGGCTTCGGCCGCCGGCGCCGCGTCGACGCGGCGAGCTCGGGCCGCGGCCGCGGCGCCGCGGGGACCGCGGGCTCGGCCGCGTCGTCGGCCGCCGCGGCCGCCGTCCGCACGACGCACAGACCCAAATCCGCGACGGCGACGCGGCCGAACTGGGCCCAGAGGGACGCGCGGGGGCCGTCGCAGCCGGGCAGGGCGGCGACGGTGCGACGCTCCAGCGCCGGCCCGAAGCACGCTAAAACGCGCGGGCCGCCGCGGCCGCGCGAGAAGACCGCGGCGAGCGCGCCGTCGACGTCCGCGACGCCGTCGGCGGCCCAGGGCCCGTCGCCGGCGGCCAGGCCCGCGGCCGCGGCGGCGGCGCCGGCGTCGACGGCGCCCGCGACGGTCGCGGCGAGCCGCGCGCCCTCGCGGGTGACTTGCACGACGTCGAACGCGGCGGCCCCCGTCGGCGCGAGCAGCGCGAAGCCGGCGCCGCGCGGGGCCGCCGCGCAGCGCCCCGGCGCGGCCGTCGCGACGTCGCAGCGCAGCGACGCGCCGCCGCCCCGGGCCGGGTAGTAGGTCACGCGGACGCCGGCCTCCGTCGCCCGGCGGCCAAGGCGCCGCCGCCGCCGCCGCCGTGGGCGAGGCGCGCCCCGAGGCCGACGGCGAGGCGGCCGTCGCGGGCGCCGAGCGCGCGCGCGAAGACGCCGCGGTCGCCGCCGTCGCCCGCCTCCCGCCACGCGAGCCGCCGGCCGTCGTAGGCGGCGCCCGAGACGGCGCGGCCGCGCGCGCCGTCGAAGAGGCGGAACGCGCCCGCGAGCCGCCAGCGCGCGGCGCACGCCCACACGACGACGCGCCCGCCGGCCTCGACGACGACGCAGCACGCGGCGCCGCCCTCGCGCTCGCGCAGCGCGACCGCGGCGGCCGGGCCGTGGCGGAACGCCGCCGCGCGCGCGACGCGGCAGGGCGCGCGGCCGTCGCGCCGCGCCTCGCGCATGCCTCGCACGAGCGCCTCGACGCTCCCGCGCGACGACGCGCGCGCCTCCTGGCCGACGCAGGCGACGGCCGTGCTCTGCCACTCGCCTCCCGCCGTCGTCGGCGCCAGCGTCAGCGCGACGTAGGACGCCGACGCCGTGATTTTTGTAATTGTGCCGGCCTGCTGCCGGCGCACGGCGCGCAGGAACGCGGTGACGAAGGCGAAGCCATCGCCGGCGTTGTCGTCGTTCATCGTGGCTTGCAAGCCATGCTCTTGCTTGCGCTGAGCACGCTGAGCTCGCGCACGGATCTATCATAGATGATCTATAGATGGGATCGATGGGTCCTCGCGCGGCGGCAGTCAAGCTATGCGCGCTGCTAGCAGCGTCGCACGCTTTCGCTCCGCCTCCGTCGACCCATGTGTTGCTCCACAAAACGCGCGCCGTCGCCGGGGACATGCGCGATAGTGGCCCTGGTAATGCAGAGCCCTTGGTGCTGAGGTCCCTACGCCAGGTCTCCAAGCGCTCCGCGGCGCTCGTCGCCGCGTCGGCGGTCGGCGCCGCCCGGCCGACGTTTATTGTGAGCGAACTCACCGCAAATGCCGTCTCCGCCGCGGCGGTCTTCCTCGCGGGCGTCGGCGCCGGCGCGGCGATTTCGGGTCCGCGCGCCGTCGCGGCCGCGGTCGGCTGCCAGGCGGCGGCGCTCGTCGCCGCGCGCGACGCCGTGGCCGTCTCCGGCGCCGCCGCGGCCGCCGCGGGCCCGCTCCTCGCGACGGTCGCGCGGGGCGACGTCGCGCTGGCGGCGGCGCTGTCGGCCTGCTTGCTGCCTCTGGGCGGCGTGGACGTCGCCACCTATGTTTTGGTACCATACGCTGCCGGCTGCGTGGTCAACAGAACAATGAGCGACAGCGCGTTCGTCGCCGAAGCCGCGCCGGCCGCCGCGGCCGTCGCTCTCGCGCTCGTCGTCGGCCGCTGCGCGGCCAGCGCCGCGAACCTGTGCCCCCGCGATGTCGCCGCGCTCCTCGCCGTGCTCGCCGTCGGCGCCGCCCTCCTCTACGCCGCGGCTGCGCGGGTCTTCAAGCTGCCGACGGCGGCGACGCGCGCCGTCGCGCTCGCCGCGCCGGGGCTCGGCGGCGGCGCCTTGGGACTCGCGGCACGATGCGTGGTCGGCGCCGCGCTGGCTTCGCGCTGGCGCGCCAAGGACGTCGACCCGGGCCTCACGTTCGAGTCGCGCGTCGCCGAGCGCGCCGCGAAGCTCCGCGCGTCGCGCGCGTACGTGCCCGACGGCCTCAGCGTCGAGGAGTTCGCGCGCGTGCGCCTCAAGGAGGAGGACTACCAGAAGTCCCTGGACCTCGGCGCCTGGGGCCCCCGCTTCAAGCGGACGGCCGCGCCCGGGCTCTTCGACAAGGCCTGGCTCCAGGGCGTCTGGTACGGGCGGAGCCAGCGGCCCCCGCGCGACGACAAGCCGCCGAAGATCGGCCGCGCGCCGAAGCTCAAGCCCCGGAAGTAACATGCCCTGGGAGGGATCATCGGCGGAGCGGCACTTTACGAAGCCCGTCCGAGTCGCGAGGCTTGGGCGGCGCCGCCGCCTACTTCTTCATGATGGAGCCCGCGTTGCCAGTCTTGATCTGGCCCGTCTTCTCGCGCCGCGGCGGCGTCATCGACTGGAGCTGGGGCGGCTTGGCGGCGGACGCGGCGGCGGGCGCGAGCGCGGCGGCGACGGCCGCCGCGGGGACGAGGCCCTCGAGGAAGGATCGGCGGTCGGCCTGGACAACGACGGAGGCGCGCGCCTGGTGCGGGGCCTGAAAGGCCGCGGCGGCGCCGAAAAGGAGGGCGAGGATGGTCTTCTGCATGTTTGCCTAAAATGGGGCCAGGGTCGACAGTTTCGCGAGATCGGAGGCCCCGGCGAAGCGGTAAAGCTCGTCGCGCGCGAGCGCGCGGTCGCGTGGAGGGTTCGAGCGGTCGAACGTGACCCCGTCGGTCCCCGCGCGGCCCGGCGTTGACGCGGACATCGCACGTAGAAGTGGCACTGATGGACGAGATCGGGCTCCGGCCAAAGATGCCGAAGCAGTGCCGAAGCGGTGCCGTGATTGCCGTGCTTGGACCGGCGAGCCGAGGTCCACCGCAGCCGCCGCAGCGTCGCAGCGCACACAGAGCTCGAGACATGGCCGAGGAGGAGGCTCTTTCTCCCGTGAGAATACGCCTGAAGAACGTCTTCGGGACGATGAAGGGCGTCTTCGCCAAGATGTGGGCCAACAAGAACGTCTGCTTCTTCGTCGGCAGCGTCCTGCTCATGCACACCTTCGGCGACGAGCTCGCGGTCTAGAGCGGCGGCGGATCGCGGCGCGCGCGGCCCGCGTGCCGGCCGACACGGCGCGAGCCTGGCGCGAGGCGACGATGCCCCGCGGCGGTCGGACCGCCGCCGACGCGCGCTCCGCGGCGGCGATCGTTCGCCGGAGGACTTCCTGCGCGCGAGAAGGCGCGTCGATCGAGCTCTCGCGAGACAGTCGCACTGCCCAAGCATTGCTGTCGCGCGAGGCGCGTCGATCGAGCTCCGCCGCGCGCGTCGCGCTCCCCGTCGTAAACCCGCCGTGGCCCGTCGCGCTTAGAATCCGAGGCTGTTGCCGAGCATGGTGAAGAGGTCCGCCGCCTCCTCGCGCGTGACCATGTCGTCCTTGTTGACGTCCATCTGGCCGAACATGAGGTCGGGCCCGCCGAAGGGCATCTTGCCCGCGCCGGACGTCGCGCCGAGCTCGTCGAGCATCTGGATCTCGTCCTTGTCCAGGCTCTGGTCGAAGTTCGTGTCGAGGAGCCGGAAGAGCTGCTCGGCCATGCCCTGGAGCTCCTGCTTCGCCTTCTTCGGGTCGAGGTTCGTCGGGAGCTCGTCCTTCGTCGCGCGCTTCGGCTTCTTCGGCTTCTCCGCGCCGCCCTTGCCGGCCTGGGCGACCTCGAGCATGGTCGCGAGGACGTGGGCCGCCTCGGTCTGGTTCACGCGGCCGTCCGCGTCCACGTCCATGGTCCCGAAGATGTCCGTCGGCGCGGTGTCCGAGACCTTGCCGACGCCGCTCTCCGCCGCCTTCTGCTTCAGGCCCGCCCACGCGCTCTCGAACTCGGCGCGCTCCAGCACGCCGTCGGCGTCCTGGTCCAGGAGCCGGAACAGGGCCGCGCTCACCTCCGTGCCGTCGGCGAGCGGCGTCGACTTGGGCGCCTCGCCGTTGACGCCGACGTCGTGGTTGTAGGCGATCTCGCGCAGGCCCTGGAGCGTCGTCCCCGCGGGCACGTCGACCTCGGCCTCGTGAAGCATCTGGCGCAGCTGCTTCGAGCTGCGCATCTTGATCTTCTTCCGCTTCGCCTCCGGCGACGACTCGTCGCAGCGCGCGATGGCGACGAGGCATGCGAAAGCCACGGCGCGCAGCAGCCCCATGGCGCGTTCGCTTCTCCGGTGCAGGCGCGATCGCGATGAATCGCAATTTGTTAAACTCACTCTCACGCGACGCAGCCCATACGCGTGGCTACTTCCGGGTAGATGGTGCACTGCTCCTTGAGTCATCGACAGGTCGCGCCGCGCGGCGGCCGCGTCGCGACGATGGCCGACTCGTAGCAGCACAGGACGTCGAGGTCCGCGACGGTGGCGATGGACACGTTGAGGAGCACGTTGGAGTACGCGTTCGGCTCGACGCGCGCGACCGCGAGGTGGCCGTCGCCGAGCCCCCTGAGCGTCGCCGCCATGGCGCCCAGTTCGTCCGGCGACGGCGGGCTGCCCAGACAGACGCGCCTCCAGGTCGTGCAGGACCGGTGCCGGTTGACGGCGGGGCTGCAGAAGGAGCCGTCGGCGAACCAGCGCCGCTCGCGCTCGAGGCACGCGGCGCCCCAGTAGTGCAGCTCCGCGAGGACCTGGGCCGCGGGCGGCGCGTCGCCGCCGGAGAGCGCCCGCAGCACCTCCCACTCCTGCCCCTCGATGTCGATTTTCAGGATCGTCAGCGGCCGGTCGCCGTGGCCGAGCTCGCAGCGGATCGTCTCCAGGGCCGCGATGCGGACCGCGGCCGCGTCCGCGGCCTCCGCCAGCTTGATCGCGTCGCCGTCGCGCGCGCCGAGGCCGATCCGGTGGAAGGTGATGCCATCGGGCACGCGCTCGGGAGTCACCGTAGGATCGAAGCTGTGGACCTCGCAGCCCAGCGCGGCCGCGGCCTCGTCGAAGTCCCAGTCCGCGCGGACGCCGAACGAGTACACGAGGCAGTCGTCGCCGCCGCCGCGCACGAGCAGCCGCCGCAGCTCGTCCGCGGCGCGCCGGACCTCCTCCGGCGCGACCTTGGCCGGGAAGCCCTTGCACCAGCGCGAGTCGAAGCGCCACGCGCACTGCAGCGCGTCGGCCGCCGCCTGGTCGACGCCCCGCACGCAGGCCTGCCGGCCGCCGTCGCTCGTCGCGCCGAGGCGCACGAACGCCTTGCAGCGCGCCTGCGGACGCAGGCCCAGGTAGGCGCGCGCGCCGCGGTCGGCGGCGAGGCTGCCGACGGTCTCGTGCCGGCGGCCGCCGAAGCGGTTGCCGCGCGCGAATTCGCCCAGGCGCTCCTCGCTCCAGACGATCTCGCTCGGTCGTCCCTCCGTGATGTTGTTCTGCGCGTAGGAAGCGGCGGCGAGCAAGGCAGTGATGAATCCGTGCATCGTGCGCGCTAGGGGCGCGCGGCGAGGCAGCCCACCATGCACGAGGCTGCACATCGTGAACGCTAGGGGCACGCGCGCGCAGCGAGGCAGCCCATGCGCCCTCGCACCGAAGCTCAAGGTGACAGCACAAAGCCGGTGTTGAGTGCTCTCCGAGGCGATGGACAAGATGCCACAAGCGCAGAGGAGCTCGACCCACAACATCAAGATGGAGATCTGGAACTCGACGACCCGCATCGAGCGCCCGACGACGGAAGCGCACGAGGCCTACGACCTCTGCGACGCCGGCGCCGAGCTCGCGCGCTTCAACGCGCTCAAGAGCCTGCGGTCCGTCTTCGCGCGGCTCGTGACGACGCACGGCGGCGGCGGCAAGGCGCCGCCGCTCGCCTTCGAGCGCTGGCTCGCGCGGTCCGCGCTGGCGCGCGCGACGGCGCCCGACGGCGACTGCGACGGCGAGCGCGGCGGCGCGGCGGCGCGCGAGGCGCTCCTGCCGACGGGCGCCGCGGTCGACGGCCAGCTCGTCGCGGACCTCGCGCGGTCGTTCTCGCGGGACGCGGCGCTCGCCATCGCCGAGGCCGTGTCCGCGCAGGGCCGGTCCGCCGCGGCGCGGCAGGCCGCGAGCTACCCCGAGCGGCCCGCGCGCGCGCCCGCGGCGCACGCGAAACGGCTCGTCCGGGCCGTGAAGCGCGCGGCGAAGCGCGCCGACGGCGCCGACGGCTGGCGCGCGCTCGCCTCCGCCGCCGATGCCCTGCGCGCGCACGCCGAGGCCGCGGCGGCCGCCGCCCCCGCCGCCGCGTGCGAGGTGTCGGTCGCGCGGAAGCGCGGCGGCAAGGTCGTCGTCCTGTCGGCCCTCGACGACGCGGGCGACGCGCGCAAGCCCTACATGACGCTCAACGGGGCGCACTTCGACAAGCTGGTCCAGCTCCACGGGCGCCACGGCCGCCCCGGCGACGGCGACGTCCACGCGCGGATCTTCTGCCTGCTCGCGCGCTACGAGGCGCTCCGCGGCGCGGGCTTCCAGTGCGCCGTGCCCGGCGCGGCCTTCGACGGCTTGGAGGCGTACCTCGGCCCGACGGTCGAGTGCTTCGCGAGCCCGCTCAACTGCCGCTTCGAGCGCTACTACTCGGCGTTCCCGTTCCTCGAGCGACCCTTCGGGTCGCTCGGGTCGTTCTTCGGCGACGTGGCCATCGACGGCGGCTCCTTCGAGGCGAACCCGCCCTTCGTGCCCGAGGTCATGGCCTTCATGGTCGACCGCATCGCGGCGCTCCTCGAGGCCGCGTCGGGCCCGCTCTCCTTCCTGGTCGTCGTGCCGGACTGGGGCGGCGGCTCGTCGGCCGCGGGCGCCTGCCGGCGGTCGAGGTTCCTCCGCGCGCGCCACACGGTGCGCGCCGCGGACCACGTCTTCGCCGACGGCGCGCAGCACCGCGTCGCCGACCGCTACCGGCCGAGCTCCTGGGACACGGCCGTGCTCCTGCTGCAGAACGACTCCGGGGCGGCGACGTGGCCCCTCGACACGCCGACGCTCGCGGCGACGATGCGGCGGTCCTTCACGCGGGCGGCCAACGACCCGAAGGCGCCGGCGAAGCGGGAGGACCTCCAGGCCTGGGAGCGGCGCGGCCCGGCGAGGGGCGGCAAGCGGACGCCCGCGCCGCCCGCGGGCAAGCCGAAGAAGAAGAAGGCCCGGAACGACGACGCGGCGTTCTTCGTCGAGGCGCCGTAAAAAGCCTTAGCTATGGATCCAGCCCCGCGTCCTCGACGTCGAGCACGTCGAGCTGGAGGATGTCCGCGCGCGCGCCGAGCATGGACGCGAGGCTCGGCTCCGTCCGCCCGAGGTCGCCGTGGACGAACTCCTTGATGTACATGCCCGCGGACGTGACGATCGTGAGGACGGCGAAGCGGCCGTTGAGGCGGCGGAGCGAGAGCTCGTGGACGCGCTTCTCGCGGACCGCGAGAGACCGCGAGTGCATGACGCGCACGGGCGTCTTCTGGGCGACGTCGAAGTCGCGGCGGTCGCAGGTCGCGACGTCGCGCGCCGTGAGGTCGCGCGCGCACCAGACGACGCACGCGTAGGTCTTCGTCTTCGTCTCCGCGGACGCGTTGACGGCCGCGGCCTCGGCCCGGTCGCCGAGCGCCGCGCGCCGCAGCTCGACGGGCGCGCCGAGCGCGCGCGCGCGCGCGGCCACGCGCTCGGCGAAGGCGGCGGCGACGTCGCCGGCGACGCGGAAGGCCCGCGCGTTTTCGAGAAGTGCGTACGCGGGCCGGCCGCCGCCGAGCATGCGCACGTCGCAGTCCTCGCGGCCGCTCGCGGCGAATTTCACGCCGTCGCAGTCCGCGACGTCCCGCGCCGCGGCGGCGACGACCTCCTCGACGGAGGCCGTGCCCTTGACGACGCCGTCGACGACCCAGGGGCTCTGCGGCATCGCGCGGCTCAGCTTCCGGTAGCGGAAGACGAAGTACGTCGGCGCGCGCGCGCAGGCCGCCGCGGGCCGGCATTGTTCGGGCGGCGGCGCCGCCGCGAACCAGTCGCCGAGCGCGAGGAGCTCGTCGCCGTCGAGCGCGTCGAGGGCCGCCTCGACCTGCGACTGCGGCACGTCGCTCGGCCCCGGCTGCGGCGCGCGCGGCCGCTTGCCGCGCTCGTGGAACTTGAGCCGCGGCCGCCGCGGCAGCGCGGGCCGCACGCGCGCCGGCAAGGCGCCGATCTCGGCGGCGGCGTCGCCCTCGAACTTGAGCGAGAACTCCACGGGCCCGAGCCGCGGCTCGGGCGACGCCGGCGCCGCGGCGAGCCGCGACAGGTCGCCCCGGACGACGAAGCGCGCCGCGTCCTTGACGGCGTGGGCCCGGCTCCGGGGCCAGCCGACGTGGCCGCAGAGCGCGCCGTCGCGCACGACGCAGGCCACGGGCACGGACACGCAGACCTTCCACGACGATCGGTCGCCGACGCCCGCGTGGCCCGCGCCCGCGGCGGCGACGGCCTCCGCCGTCGCCGCGTCGAGGGCGCCGAGGCAGAGCCGGCACGTCTCGCCGCGTTGGCCGGCGCCGCAGGCCGCCGCGAGCGCGCGGCCCACGACGGCGGCGCTCAGCTCGTAGAGGCTGAAGGGCGGCGCCGTGTAGCGCAGCGCGCAGCGGCCGCAGCCGCCGGCCTCGAGCACGCGCGCGCAGACGTCGCGGTGCTCCAGGACGTGCGCGTGCAGCGCCTCGGAGCTCATCGTTGGCTGCAGGAGACGAGCTCTCGAGGGTGCGTTAAGACGCGCTCACAAGCCAGGAGCTCGAGCCATCGCTGTGATGCGGGGCAATCAAAAGGGCACCTAAGAGTGGTTTCACTTCAACTTACCGACGGGCTCGGCGGCAGCGGCGCGCTGCCGGGCTCCTCGACGGCCGCGGCCGCGGCGTGCGCGGCCTCCATCTCCGCGGCCGTGGGCAGCTTGCGGAGCATGGCGAGCGTCGCGCCGCGGTCGCCGTCGTCGAAGTAGGCGAGGTGTTCGCCGGCGACGATCGCGTCCAGCACCACTTTGTGCCACTTCGACCAGCGCGGGTCGTCGCGCGCCGCCCAGAGCTGCCCGCGGCCCGGCTCGAGCACGAAGTCCGCGTCGTCGTCGCGGGCGACGGCGTAAAAGTGCGCGACGAGCAAGCCGTTGACGACGAGCGACGCCGCGGGCCCGTCCGGCGCGGCCGCGGGCGCCCAGCGCAGCTCCTCGTCGAGCTCGCGGAGGAGGCAGGCCGCGGAGCTCTCGCCCGCCTCGCGCTTGCCGCCGTAGCACGTGAGCTTGTCCGGAGCCGCGCGCGCGTCGGGCCCCCGCGCCTCCGCGAGGAACGATCCGTCCGCGCGTCGGACGACGGCGCAGGAGAAGGGCGCGTCGACCGTCGCGAGGAGGCGGAACGCCTCGCGGTCGCCGCTCAGCAGCGCGCCGTCGGCCGTGCTGTAGCGGCTCCGGTGCGTGTGCTCGCCCGCGAAGCGCACGCGCCCGAGCGGCGCCGCGACCGCGTCGAGGTCCGCGCCGCCGCGGCCCGTCCGCACGTAAGAGTAGGACCCGAAGGACGGCGCCGCGCCCCAGGACGTGCGCAGCGCGAGCCGCGCGCCCGCCGCGACGGCGTCCCGCTGTTCCCCGCGGAGCCCGGCGACCGTCGCGACGTGGAAGGCCGCGGAGAAGCGCACGGCCTCGTCGTCGAGCGCCTCGAGCGCGGCGTTCGCCGTCTCCCCCGCGCACCACCCGACGAGCGTCGGCGGGCCCGCCAGCGTCGCCGCGTGGCGCCACTGGCACACGCCCGGCAGCCACGCGCCCGGGACGCGGTCCTCGTCCCGCCAGACGACGTCCCAGTCGCCGCGCTGGTCGCCGACGTCGCGCCACCAGGGCGTTTCCCAGCTCAGGGCCACCTTGTTGACGACGCCGAAGGCGACGGCGCCGAGCGCCGCCGCGCGCTCCGGCGGCAGGGGCGGCTCGAACGCGATATCGCCGCGCTGCAGCGCGCCGAGCGACGCGGCGACGACGCAATAGTCGCAGCGCCGCGCCGCGCCGTCGGCGACGCGCACCTCGACGCCGTCGGGCCGCGCGACGATCGCCGTCGCGCGCGCGCCGAGCTCCACGGCCCCGGCGCCCCTCGCGGCGAGCGCGACGCCCGAGAACGACGCGACCGGCTCGCGCATGCGGCCCGGCCGCTCCGCGTACTCGCCCCAGGCGTCGAGGCTGCACTGGCGCACGTCGTCGCAGCCCACGCTCACGCGCTCGAAGGCGAGGCGGTGCTCCACGGCCTCGAGGAACGCTTTCGCGTCGCCGCGGCCGGCCGCGGCGCGCGCCGCGCGGCCCCGCACCTCGCCGCCGACGGACGCCGTCGCGGGTTCCTCCGGCGCCGCGTCGTCGCAGGCCGCGAGCGCGCCCGAGGCCCAGGCCCAGCCGGCGTCGAAGGCCGGCTCCGGGAACGGCGACCCGTCGCCGTAGCAGACGCGGCGCCGGCCGGGCGGCCGCGGCGACCCGGACCGCTGCGCGGAGATGCGCACGAGCGGGTTGCCCTCGGCGCCGTGGATGTACGTCGCGCCGGCCTCCATGAGGCCCTCGGCGCCGTCGAGGCGGCCCACGGTCCAGGCGCGGCCGCCGATGCGCGACGCGCCTTCCAAGACCACGACGTCGAAGTGGCCGCTGCTGTGCAGCACCTCGCCGCAGCGCAGGCCCGCGAGGCCGGCGCCGACGACGACGACGCGCGGCCGCCGGACGCCGACCATCGCGACGTGCTGCGACGGCGCGGGCCCTCCGCGCGCGCGCCGGGTCAACACGGCTTCACTATCCCTTCAAGCCGCGGGATGCGCACGATGGCCGCCGCAAAAGGGCTGCTGCTATTACTGCTTGCGCCCTTGGCGCTGTCGATGGAGGGCCTCTTCAGCGATCCGAACCATCGGAAGCCGCGGGACGGCTGCGGCGGGTCGACGTGCCTGTCGCTCGAGGGCCTGCGCATGATCAAGACCGACGACGACGGCCGCATCTACGTGCTGGGCGCGGACAACGACGGCCTCGTCTGGAGCCTCCTCGGCGGCATGAACGTGAACGACCCGGCCAGCGGCCAGCTCGTCGTCGACTTCACGACGAAGGCGCCCAAGGTCGGCGACCTGAGCGGCGTCTGGACGGGCGCGCGCCTCGACTGGGCGGACGGCAACGCGTGGACGAAGCTGGCGGCGAGCGAGGCGCCGCGCGTGAAGCTCGACCCCAAGTCGGACATCCAGTTCGACGGCGTCTACGTGGACCCCGACATCTGGGACGGCGGGCTCGAGGGGCTCCGCTTCGTGACGCACCGCACGGGCAAGTACGACGGCCTCGCCATCACCTGCATCGGCACGGACGACGGCGAGACGTTCTTCCACCTCGCCGGCACCTTCCGCAACACGGGCGCGCCCCAGGAGGCGACGGGCCACCTCCACAGCTTCTTCATGGACATGACGCCCCTCGGCGGCGAGAAGAAGGCGAACGGCATCCAGATCCGCGGCGCGCTCCTCTGGTCCGACGGCACCCAGTGGACCAAGGTCAAGGGCACCAAGGACAAGGGCGCCTACGAGGCCGAGCTGTGAGGTAAGGATACGCGCTTCAAGAAATCGAAGGTGCACATCGTTTTTCGACGCAGCCCCAGCATGAGCACGCTGCACGCCGCGGTACGGGAACGACGATGAGCTCTCTAGCTAGGCATGAGCACGCTGCACGCCGTGGTACGGGAGCGACGATGAGCGCGCTGCAAACCGTGGAGCACATCTGCCTGGGCGAGATCCTCCTCTTCGTCCTCGAGGACGTCGGCGCCGTCGCGTCCGCGAGCTCGTCGCTCCTCCGCGCCGTGGAAAGCGAGCACGGCTGGCTCCTCGAGAAGTGGCGGCGGCGGCGCGGCTGGCCCGCGCCGGCCGCGGCCGTCGCGTCGCCGGACGAGCGGAGCCGCGCGTTCCGCGCCTTCGCCGCCGCGACGCGGAGCGCGACGCTCGCGCGGGCCTTCCGCGACGCCGTCGGAGTCCGGGACCTCGCGGTGATGCGGCGGCTCTCGGAGGCCGGCGCGTCGCAGCGCCACGTGGACCCGTCGACGGGCTGGACGGCGCTCCACGAGGCGGTGACGCGCGGCGACCGGGAGACCGTCGAGTTCCTGCTGGCGCACCGGGACGACGGGCCGCGCGACGCGAAACTGCTCCTCGCGGCGGACGCGAAGGGCCGGACGGCGCTGCACCAGTCGGCCGCCGCCGGCGTCCCGCGGCCGCGACGACGTTCGAGAGATGTCGACCGGGAACACGACGAGACGTCGCCACCGCCGCGCGTCGTAGGCCGCGGCCTACCACAAGAAGAACTCCATCACGCGCCTGCTCTGCCGCGCCGGCTGCGTCGTCGACGCCGTGGACCACCAGGGCAAGACGCCCCTGTGGCTCGCGGCGTGGCACGGGAGGGCGTCGGTCGTGCGGATCCTCATGCGCGGCGGCCGCGCGGACGCGTCCCTCGCGCCGACGGCGGGGCCGGACGAGGGCGTGAGCGCCGCGCGCGTCGCGAGCCGGAACCCGCTGTCGCGCCACGGCTGCCGCCGCGTCGCCGCGCTGCTGTCGACGGGCGACGAGTCCGACGACGCGGTCAACACGCCCGACGTGCCGCGGCGCTTCGGCCGGGCCATGGAGGAGGCGCCCCGGGCGCCGCCGCCGCCGCTGCCGCCGCGGAACCCGAAGCGCGCGCCGGACCGCGGCCTCGGGCTCCTCGTCGCGGCCGCGCTCCTCTTCGCGGCCTCGGGCGGCGACCTCGGCGCCTACTGCGCGCGGACCGCGGGCCTCGGG